AATTATACAGACCAGGATACTATTTATTATCAGTTCCCGACGCTAAAATACGAGATAGCGACTAAATGATTAATAAGAAATCTTGAAAAGTACTTATCCTTCTGATGGATTTCTCGGGAACTCTGTTGTCTAATTAAGATGAATCGGTATAGAAAGATAACAATTAAAACGAGGGGGGAAATTTCATAGCCTGTTAATTTGGGACCTATGACCTTTTATTTTGAATTCAAACTTTGACAGAAATCACCATGACTTCTGACATTCATAGCTTGTTGAAAGCTGCATAGAATATAATGGAAATTTGTGTCATGCATTTTGATTCATTTAGATGACCCTGTAGACTCTACACACAGTATTTGTAGATTTTTTTTCAACATTTTCATGTTAAAACATCCAAATCCTATACATAACTTTACATTTTTCAGTTTATCTGTATGGTGAGGCGGCCTCGGACAAGGCCTATAGGATGCAGTTATCACAGATTCGTGCTGGCGAGTTTGAAGGTCTACCTGAAAAGGTAAAATCAATATCTAATTAATGAGCAGAAACGTTTGATCAATGTGAGATAATGTATTTTGCCACACTTTTCACATTAGGCTGAAATGATAAGTGTAAGTTACACATACTGATGCAGTGAAACTTTTGGTTGATATCTTTATTGCCATCTGTAAACTCAAACCAGGAAATGTTTCCATTTTCAAGAGATTTGATGCTATTTATAAAAAGATATGTAATAACTTATTTCAAAAGAAGTGTCAGAGTAAAGAGGAAGAAAAAGATATTTAACAGGTTAAAGTTTAACCAACTGATTAATAGAAGAATTATTATGAACTTTTTTAAAATTTGGAAGTTGATGTATCCCAATAGTAAGAAAAATTATTTTTAGACAAAGGGCCATTACATCATGATGTCAGAGTTTTTCTTATATTAAAACTTAAAACTGAAAAATGTGTTTTAGCTGTGTAGACCAGAGTGGAAGCCAGATTTTGGCCCGCCAGATTTTGTACCTAACTGGGGAGCCACTGCTGTAGGAGCAAGGACGTTCCTCGTTGCCTACAATATCAATCTGTTAGCTACCAAGGAACAAGCTCACCGCATTGCCCTCAATGTCCGAGAACAGGGGCGAGGCAAGGACCAGGTAATGTGCCTTTTGTATCCGCTTAATCTTTGAAAATATTGTATTGTTGTGTTATCTATAGAGCCAGATGTTCTTATTTTGAAAATCAGGCCCAGCTTAAGTAAAGCTGAGACTTCAATATCCCCAAAATAAGTTTTTCTGCTTTATACTTTTAACTTATGAACTGGAATGTAAACAGAATCATTACCAGAGAATACCATTAAATATAAGTAAACTTATTTCTTCAAAGTTTTATGAGTTGAAAAATAAACTGATTATAAAAGCATTTGTTTTCATTTTCATTTTATTTAGGGTATTGTTTGCTGCACTTCTGGATTTTTTTTTGTACCATTGTTTAATTTTGAAAAAGTCATTGTTAGAAAATAACCTTTTAGTGCCTGACCTTTGACCTTGTAGCACCATATTCATCGTCGCATGAGGCTTCGGGTAGGTGTATGCCGGTCTTGGTCTTTTCCCTGCCCCATGGGTCCACCAAAGCTAACACTGCATCACGCTAGTTCTCGGCTCATTTACATGTAGCTAACACTGACACATGTTTTAATGAGTTCCCGATGTGCTCATGCACCTATTTGTGATTATGATGCTGAAAATATATAAATGGTTTGAGTTTGAATTAAAAATCAAGCTTTAAGCAAGCTGGGACTTTTCAAATAATTCTTTTTGACAGGATGATCATCTTTGTATATTAAATGTTCAAAATTTGGAAGTTTTGTATATATGACAGTTAATTTGAATAAATCATCCTTCTGTTGTTCATATCTTTCATAAAATTTGAAGGTTTTTTTTTCTGTCATGTTATCTGCAGTTTTGTCAAATGAATGAACACTGCAGTACAATAAGAAACAATGTTGTAATGAGTGTCTTTGTATCTGATAACTGTTTGGCTTTACAATATTTATAGTGAAGTTTTATTGCACAACTAAGATTTTAATTCTGTGGTCACTAACATTGTGAAGTGATATGTATATACACACATTCTTCATATCAAGCTATGCTAAAAGTGACTATGTGAAGGGACTGAAGTCAATTCTTGGTCTACCACAGCAGGTGAAATATATCATACAGATCCCTCATAAAACTCAGGTTTTATGAAAATAATTAACATTGTGATAATTTTTAGGGGTTTGAATATTAAAAATTTGAAAAAATAGACATTGGGAACTTTAGAGTGCCAGTCTCTTTAGATAAAGAATAACTTTTATAATCTTTTAAATAAATTAACAAGTCAACATGTGAGTTTTGTAACATCAATAATCTACAATGAAGAATCTTTGATGCAAACAAACCGACATCCTAGAACTGTTAAAGAAACAAACCAGAACACAGTCAAATAAGGTGTAACAGAGAGAAAGAAAGATGGACTCGTTGACATTTGGACAAATTCTACAGGTCCCCTGACAAGTCCTATGAATGATAATTAATACTGACCAAACATTGGGCTAATTTAAGTGAAATGAAACCTGAAGTTCGCCACGTCAGTGTTGAAAATAATTATTTATGGAGAGATGATGAAGATGATGAATTTTAATCTAATTTTTAATTTGATTTTAAATTTTAATTTTGTTTTCAAGATTTTAATTGAATTTTTAATTTTTGTTAATTTTAATTTTGTTGAGGACCATTATGGAAGATTTGATTTTAATATGTTACTCACAGATAATGTAGTACTAAAAACATTTATTTAGTACACTATTTTGGTATATCTGATTAATTGAATCTTTAGATTAGCACAATGCTGGATCATCACACCCTACAAGACAGAAATGTTGTCAGGGGGATCATAACTTAGTGTAATGCTTTCAGCACAAAAAGTAATATCATAATTGTGGATTTTAACTTATTCATTTGCTGTTTCAGGTTACTTGTTTGTTTCAAAATTAATACGGAATTGATTCATGCTGTTATCAGATTTCACAGGAGTGTTGGGTTAGTTGTCCAGGGGTCAGGGATAACACTCAAGATTAAATCGGTCGATGACTCAAGATAGCCTTGATCTTATATTTACCATTTATGTTAGAAATGACTGTCATATTCTCCTGTTCTTGGGATAACTTGAATGGAGACATGCTCAAACTTCTAAAAATCTCTCAAATATGTATTTAGGCCATCCGATAAGAATTCAGCGTTGTACACTAGAGACACATGAATAATTCATATCAAACATTATATGTTTAGAATAATTCATCAAACATTCCTAGCAATTCAGACTGCAGAGCTTTTTCGTCTAACAATTTCCATAGTTAAAATTATTCCACAAGCTGTGAAATATCTGACATCAGTGAAAGGATGTAAAATACCAGCTTGCTGCATGCATAACTAATAAGCTCTTTATCTCTCAAACTAAAGGATATTCATAGAAATTTCCCCCCATTTAAAAAGTTCCCACAGTCAGATCTAATCTAAGGCATTAACAGCTGGGTCTTTGGACAATTTCCCACATATGAAAGAGAAGTATACATATATGTCTATGACAAAGTATAAATGCAGACTATTTGGATGGACTACATACATTCTGACATTTTATCAAATTTTGGTCTGGAGTCAAATGTTAGTTTGGACATTGTCAAAATACATTTTATGTGATAGACTATTTGATTTCGTAAACAGGGTTTTTTAAATGCATTTTTACCAATAGTTCATAACAAAATGAGTGTTCTTTTAATAGAGATTGTGAAAGGGACAGTTTTTACTAAAACTTCCATTTTATAAAATATTTGTAAAGCTAGAAAGATAGAACCCCTTGAAAATGCCAACCTTTACAATATAAGGAAAAAATCAGTTTTAGAAAATACAGTGACTGCCTTTTTTCAGTGATATATATATTATATGTTACACAAAGTTGTGCAGAATCATATTTATCACTGTTTGGCTGTGTTGTTCCATCAACAATTCATTTTGTGCATACTGATCATGCTAGTAATTTTAATGGAATGACTTTTAACGGTTTGATGATAATAAGTAATTCAGTTTCTATAAATCCTCCGTTTCTCAAGTTCACTCAGCTCACATATTCATAATTGCACTTCAAACAGAATTTTGACCCTCACCACATTTATCAGTTTTTACATATTACACAACAGTTTTCTGAATGATGAAAGACTTCACATTCTCCTGAACATTTCATCCTCAAATCACAGAAAAGCTCTACTGGTGTTTGGTAATCAAGAGAGGGATTTAATGTATTAGAGTATTTTAAGAAAGCAGCCAAAGAGGTGAAAATAAGAGATAATTTGTAAAACTAGGAAAGTAGTGATTCTCACATGGAATGTACCTGTATTCTTAGATCATGATTTTAATACAATCTTACCTGCTATGTATTGCATTGTTCACAGATCTAGAAAAGATGGAAAATAGTTTGTTCTTTTTATTCTGAAAATTAGAAGTTCTTGACAAATCATTTCCACCTGAAAGTATTTAATGACAAGTTATATTTATGGAACCTGAAGAAAGTTTGTGTAAAGGTGAAGGATAAAGATATGTTAGTATCTTACATATGTAGGAACCATTGTTACGTTATTAATAGAATTATTTATGGCCTTATTATCTCGCTGTGATACAACAGCAACATTCATTTGTTTTGTTGGGGTTTCAAGATAAAAAACAAATAGCAGTGAATAGCAGCGATCACTTCCTTATATGTGAGTGAGTGAGATAAGAATAAATCAATAGTATGGCAGACTAAGGTTTATTTGTAAAACATTAGTTTTGGAATGAATTATTGAAGAGGTCTGATACCAGGTAAACTTATCTAACAAATTCCTTTGATACCTGTTGTGGAGTTTTACAGTTTGCCATGTAAAGGATCAATGAATTGCATTTGATCTATACATTAACTCATAGTTTATGAAATATTGAATTTCAAACATTTGTTTCATTTTCTGTGTACAGTATCTGTCACTGATATTGTAAGGAATATGTAGTGTATTGTTCAACTCAGAACAATAGTTGGTATATTTTCATAAGAAAAATATACTTTTGTCTTGAAGGTACTTGTACATTATGTTCAAACTAGCAGCTAAAGCAGCTGTTCTCCAAAGTTCTTTTTACTTTGATTTGTAAAATTGTTGACACTTGCAGAATGAGCACACTTAGTAGAAATAAAAAATTCCATGTATCATTGTTAATCAAAAATGTTAAAATTAGCTCCATGTTGATACACTTTAGTCTTATGATTTTGTCAAAAAGTATTCATAAAAAGGCAAGTTATCTATGCAGTGTAGTGCATAGTTTTTGTCAGAAGGGGAAAATTACAAAACCAGACAATTTTTTTTATCTATATTTTGGTAAGTACCATCAATTACTGAAAATTTATTTCACGATTTCAATTAGTTTTTTAATCTTAGTACATTAATTATTGGATTTCTACACAACTAATTCTAGTAAGATTTTATTTGCAGCCTGGAAGACTGAAGAATGTACAAGCCATGGGATGGTACCTGGATGACGCTAATCTTGCTCAAGTTTCTGTCAACATCACTGACTATAAGTCTACACCTATGCATACGGTCTACGAAGAAATTCTCAAGGATGCCCAGGTAAGAAACATGCCTGTACCCAGGTAATTGCACTGTGGATGATTCTGGATGTATCTGATGTTGAAATGATAAAACAAATTTTGATTACAGACTGAAGTTTCATATGTTGTAAAAAGACTAAATGAAACAGCGCAATGCGTGGTGTATCAAATTAATGAAATTGTGTTGATAAGAAAATACAAAGTTTAGCTATATTTTTTGGACTTTAAAAAAAATGGTTCAAAGTGAAAGTGTTGATTTCAACTGGTGCTGTTAACATTCATGTCAAAATATGATTTATTTTTCAACACTAAGAGTCCAAAGTTTATCACACAGGGTTTAGAAAACACTGTGAAATTTTTTGAACTGGCACTGAATGTTACCATATAAAATGCTGTAACATTACCAAATAGGCAAAACTAGAGCACTGCAGTCGTTCAATGTCGATGTTTCAAATTATAAAAGAAATCTGTTAAAGCTATCTTTCAAGTAAGCTTCATTCAGTAAGAGATTTGATTTGATTTAATCACACCTGTTGTTTGACTCACCATTTTTACAAGTCTTTGGTGATTTCATTAGAATTCTAGATAAATGGAGTCCAGACTACTGGTACCTCTTGAGATATAACTGAAAGTTTTGTAAACATTCTTCTGTTATCCTAGGATTTGAATCTGGCAGTGGTTGGCTCCCAGGTTGTAGGACTGGTACCCCTGGACGCCATCTTACAAGTAGCCGATTACTACATGGAGAAGGACAACTTATTTATACTGGAGGAAGACCAGAAGTTACGTCTCGTTATCAACAGACTGGGCCTGAACTCTCTCGGACCATTTAGTCCTAAAGAGCGAATCATTGAGTAAATACTATCCTCATACTGCAAAATCCTTCAATTCTGTAGGGTTTTTTTTGGTGTTGAATTTTTGGGTGACAATTTTAAGCTAATCAATATATCCATGAGAGAAAATAAACTCCTATGTTGACACATATGTTTAGTCCCACCCAAAAAATTGTCTACACCAACAAACATTGAAAGTGTTATAGTAGAGCCCTTACCATCTCATGCACTATGTATGTCAGTGCTAGTACACTCCAAACTGGTCATTTGTCTGATGAGGGTGACCATGTAGTCATCAAAACATCACACTCTAATCTTCTGTTATAAGAACTGATATTCTACTGACATTATAGTTCTGAAGAAAAATGGTCTACAATATTGATATGGTAGTCCCTTCTCCCAAATAATGTTTGTTACTGGGGGTATGTGAAATCTTAAAAAAACACTTAAAATGAATACAAACTTTTTCCTTCCATGAATGAAAATGAATTGTTAATCTTTTTAATTGATTTTAAAAATAGATTCAATTTCATATTCATGATAGGATATTTTCCTTCCAGGTACATGATTGCTGATGAAAAGGAAGGTCCATTAATCAGCATGGAAATTCGTGATTTTATCCTTACGGTTGGGTCAAGGTCACCAACTCCAGGAGGAGGCTCTGTGGCTGCATTGTCAGCTGCCTTGGTAATTTATTCTAATCTAAATATGATATTGTGTAGCTATGACAACAACACTCATAAAGATAATCAATTTCCTTTGATCAATACCTTAACTGATAATATATTGAGTCATTGAAATCATTGATCAGGCAGGGATGGAGGAATAAAGCATTGTCCTTGTCATCACGTTGTGTCACATCCTGTTTTATCTCATTCTGAATCAATGTCATCATTTTAGCATTTACATTCATATGAAGGGATATCTATAAAACTTAATTCAGGTTTACTTCAATAATTTTACTTTGGATTTATTCATGTTTCAAGGTTTCCAGGTCAAGGTCACCATTAACGATTATATAAATTTATCAGACTTTGACAGAATGAACTTACATATATACATCCATTGAAAGTCTTCCTCTAGTTAACTTAAATTTCCCAAATTTACTTGTACTTAGAAGCTATGCATCATTAGCTGTTCTTAAATGTTAAAATATGAAAATGAATCGGATGTCTTGACTATTCCAGGGTGCTGCCCTTGGTGCTATGGCAGGATTCCTCAGCTATGGAAACAAGAAGTTCTTTGAATTAGATTCTAAGATGAGGAAGTTACTTCCACCACTTTACAAAACTATGAAGGATTTGATGGCCTTTGTTGATGCTGATGCTGCTGCCTTCAGCGAATATATGGTAATAAATCATGTCATCTAGGTGTACGCTTACTGTATACATCCTAACTACTTCTCCTCAAGAGAATTGCAGACAAATAATTCCTTGTTAATATTTACAGTTTTGTTACAGAATTATACAATGTAATTATTAACAGAATGAAGTTTCATTTGAAACATCTAGGATTCTCCTATCTTTCCTATTTTCACGATGGAGTTGAATGATACAATCATCAGAGTAAAACTTTGGAATTCTATTTCTGATATAAATTCTTTGTTTTATTCCTAATATTGTATTTTCCAGTTGGCTTGTAAATTGTGTCAAGACACAGAAGAAGATGTAGCTCTGTAAGTTATATCTTTTACTCTTCCTAGCCTTTTTTTATATCTCTTACATTGGGTATTACAACCTGTTGCATTGCCAATATGATTTTGCTTCTGGATTTAAACAGTTTTGTTGATGGCATGGTGTTATGATTTTTATGAATGTCACCATCTTCATTTTGTATTGAATCCAGATTATTTTTTATGTCTTACAAATAGATCATATTAAGAAATTTACATGTAAATATATCTCTACAATGTGTTTTGTCTTCTGTTAGCTGAATGAAATTAATAAATGACATCAAAGTATAATTTATATATGTTTTTAATCTGCTCTCTTTCCTCACTGTCAATTTTCACTTTAAATTAAGATATTCAGCATTCACCATCACTGATAGATAGGACTGTTGATGAATTGTAGGAGAGAGGAGGCAATGCAGGACGGTCTAATGACAGCAGTGCAGGTACCACTGACAGTGTCCAGACTCACCAACTCAATGTGGCCTTCTCTAAAGGAACTGGCCGCAGTGGCTAACATCAATTGTAAATCTGACTTACAGGTATATCTTTACACTTGAAGTATCACGATTACAACATTACCAGATTAAAATGTTACCACACTAACATGGAAACCTTTGAACTTGTGCATAAAATAGTTACAGGAACTACTTCTGCCAAACACATGGATATATAATTACATTTTGTTTATTACATTTATCAAATACGGCGAAAAATTTAATTTTCAATCAAATTAAATATGATAATCTGTTGTCATGTTACTGTCACACTTTAAATTTGTTGTAAAGAGTTAACAGTGACTGACTTCTTCTTTATTAGTCACAATTACTGTCAAAACCCACATAATTTGTGCACCTACGTAATGTGTTCAGGTACATTTTGGGGCTGAAAATAGGAAAAAAGTTTCACTTGTATAATATACACACCCAAAAATTCAGTCAATTTCATTGTAACAAGGATTGCTATTTAGTATATTGGATGAAAAGACACTGACATGTAAGTATTGCATTTAGATTTTACTTTATAATGTTAACTATGCTTTTATGGAGCAATACTCTTAAGAATATATTCTCTGTGCCCTGTTTAAAATATATTCCTAGAGGAATTGCTCCATAAAAGCATAGTAAACATAACATTTTCTATGTGATACATCTTCAGGATTTCTACACTGTTATACCTTAGTTAGGTCATGCAGAATATAGCTTGGTTAAACTAAATTTCTTCGGTTAGACTTGAACACATATTTAGCTCTGTCAACTCAAAAACACCCGTTATCTAGTGATTTCCCTATATAATGTTTTTGTTTACTGAGTATCACTAGCATAATATACCTGTAGCATTTATCATTGGCTATACCAGTAAGAAATTGATTGTGATGTCATAATATGGTAACTGACATCATTGCCATGAGTTGGTCATATCGTGAATCTCCAGCTTAAGAAAGATAACTGTGTATGATGCATGGGGATATTTGGACATTGTAACATAACTGACAGAGGAGGACAATTTTTTAAATGTCTTTTCAATTCGTCCTGGCCTCAAAGTCATGATGTATGACACCAAATCAACTAGTTGAGGAATTCAACAGCTGCCAAACCATAACATCAACATGACATCCCCAAAATAGGATGCTTGGAGGGTGTACGAATATAAATCTGGAAATTATTAGAGTAAGAAATTGTCTATTATGTTATATGAATACCTGGATGGGAATGATTAAATTGTACAAACAAGTAAACATCCCTTCTTCGTGAGATTGATGAGTCTTACAATGATACTTTTTATTATAGGTTGGTGTGCGGACACTAGAGACAGCTGTGTGGGGATCATTCTACAATGTGATGACAAATCTCAAAGATGTCAAGGACGAAGGGACCAAAGCCAAGGTTAGTAATCTGTTGTACCTACTCTGGTTTTTCGCTTTCCTTCTGTTAAATTTTTCATGAAAATGCTGGGATTATGACCAAATTTGGACTAGTACATGAGTGGCTTCACTTGAAGCAAATTAGGACAGGGCTCAGAAGAAATAGTTGTAAGTCAATGAGATTTATCTCCAGATGGAGAGATGGGACCAAATTTAGTCTGTTTCATCCTTGAATGAACGGGAGTGATGTGTGGAATTTTTCAGAGCACAAAGTTTGCTTTGAATTGTATACGTTATGTTTTGAAAATCAAATCACCTGATAAGAAAAATCTTTTGTGATAAGACTGTGGATGCAAATCTTATGCTAATCCTGCTGAAATATCCAGATATGTGATGCAGGCCCTGTGGGACTCTTGTGTTTTAAGAAAAAAAAACCTACTCACCTGCCTTTCTCTTCATCACTATTTTTCACTCAAAATGAATAATACCTAATCATTTGTATATCTGATTACAGGTGAAAGAGGAAATTGAATCTGCTGTGCACTTAGCTCAAGTGAACTGCGCTGAAATCTTATCAATTTTGGATGATAGAAAAGAATAAGTGCTTCTCATGGCATAATGCCAACCTTAGTGATTTCTCTTTAACAATGTAACATTCTTCATTGTGTACGTGTGTGAAAATAGGGAAAGGATATAGGTAAAAGCTTAAGTACAATGGAATCTAGTCACTATCATTTAGTTTACTAAAGTGAAATAACGTTCAAATTTTTTTCGCAGTTATGGAATATAATTTGTTTTGGAAATGTACATCTATTCTTAAGTAGTTTAAGAAAGTGATTTTTTTCTAAATACAGTGATTTGGAATGTAAATTCTCCAAAGTGTTAATGAAGTAGAAAGTAAATTTCCCACATTGTTGTGGAAGTGGAAAATAAATTTCATATTATTGATGAAGTGGAGAGTAAAGTTTCAGGTAAGTTTTCCAGTTGTTAAGGTAACTGAAAGTAAATTATCAATGTTGATGGAGAGGAAAGTAAATTCTCCAATTAGTTAAGGAAGTGGAAAGTAAATTTGTCAGATTGTTGATGAGGTGGAAAGTAAAATTTCCATTTAGTTAAGAAAGTGAAAAGTAAATTTTCCATATTTTTAGAAAGTGGAAAGTCAATTTTCAAGGTCATTGATATTTGGATTGACAATCAATATTCCACGGTACATGACTTTGTGAAGATGCTGCTTGTGGTTATATATGTGATAAATGTTGCATAGTACTAAAGCATTATACAATATTTGTTATAACATGGAAATTCATTGATCTTGATATAAAGCAGAAGGCAGAAATCTAGCAGTATATTTTTTATTAATACCTAAGGTTAAAACTCATTTTGATCGCTGCTTTAATTAATGTAGAAATCTACCTTGTTCGATTACAGAAATTTATAGGAAATATGTATCATTTTCCAAATATTCACTTATTATGATTTACCTATTATCATAATATCATTTAATTTCGTGATGGGAAATTTTCAAGCATTCATTTATGCATGAACTGGAAATTTGTTGTGTATAAGAAAAAAAGCAATACCAATATCTATATCCACATAAGATGATTGTGAAAAAAAAAAAAAGATTTTTTGAGTAATCACAGGTCCATAATATAACTTTGCTTCAGAAATTAGAATTATAAGTAAAATAATAATATACTAGATAATTGTATTCTTTGTTTTGCTGCGAGTTCTCTGCACTGCTGGCTGTGATTTTGTCATGTGATTTATAAACATTCCTCAAAATTGTTTAAATTAATTGTTAATATTTTTGATAATTTTACAAAGTTATGGAAATATAGAAATTTATTTTAATATCTTGAGGTAAACAGTTTTGTGATTTTTACTGTGTACCAATATTTAATATGTCAAATTTTTTGCGGACATTTTTTGCCTGTGAAAATCTACGAATGTAATTGAGTTTATTGTTTGTGTTAGTAATTCATGTCTTTGTGACTAGTCATATATGTGGATTTCTTGTTCACTGGTATTTGTTCCCATTTTTAATCATTTTAATTACACTGTGAATATTTAACTTATTGAATTGTTCGTTTTACACTGGTGAAACCACATTGTGTGTTAAAACCACAACATAGCATTAATCTGACATGTTTGTGTCCTCATATGCATCATGCATTCCAACCTGGCCCAAGTTTCACAGATCTTCATTCAGGAAATCTGAACTACCATAGAAGAAAATTGCATAAGTTAAGGAAAAACTTAAATTTAAGGAAATTTCCTGATGTAATGCTTTCCTATGGGGAATTTTAAGTTAAGAAAAATTTGTTTTGGAAGATTTAGGAAACCGGGGCCTATCTTTAAATATTATCTCAGACAGTAGGCAGAATCTGTCTCAGACAGGGAATCTTTATAGAAAGGTTTTCAATAGACAGGGATTTTTTTTTGGAAAGGCTAGGTAATAGACAGGGAATTTTTATAGGTCTTTTAATAGACAGGGAATCTTTATAGAAAGGTTTTTAATAGACAGGAATTTTTCATATAAAGTTTGTTAATAGACAGGGATTTTTTTGAGGGAAGACTAGGTAAGAGATAGGGATTTTTTTTCGGGAAGGCTAGGTAATAGACAGAAAATGTTTTTTCAATAGACAAAGAATCTTTATAGAAAGATTTTTAATTGACAGGGAATTTTTATAGAAAGACTAAAGAAACAATTCTAAATTTTCATATCCTTAAGGTTTCATGATAAGCAAAATAATAATGATTTTAATATTTATATATATTTACTGTATATATATTAGTAAAAATAAGCAAATATAATAATAGTGATTTTATGACAATTTTGTTTTTGACTTAAGGAGATTGTTTTTTAGAGTAATTGTCCAGTCATAAAATTTATTTATATTTTACTGTAACCAAGTCAAATATTTTTCTAATATACTGTGATTTCTTTGTTTAAATTATTGTTGTTGACAATGAACTATAAAAAATATTTTTATTGTGTTAAGGTGATGGAATTTTTCAAGGATTGAATATATATACATATAATAATAACTAACTGCTGAAATAATATTTATGTATTTTGATACTAAAGTTGTATTTATAAAATATTGTGAAAATTTAATTCTTGATATATGTATTTTTAAGGCAATTAAATTCAAGACTTTAAATGCTGTAGAATATACAAAGTTTAATGTATGCATTACCATAATATCCTTTATTTTTGGGGGCTCAAATTTCGTGGTTTTCCAAAAAACTTATTTTTATTGGCACTTGATTTTGTAGTTAAATCTTGCTACAAAGTCTGCTAGTATTATATAATCAGCGACGTTTATCTGTTTACTATTTCATGGATATATGAATTTGTGGATTTAGAGTACCCACAAATTAAATGGAAAAAAAATCCCCACAAAAATAAACAATTTTACAGCAGTATGTACAGTGTAATAATTTCAGCTCAGTTTATTGCACATATTAGTATTAATATATATTACCATATTACAAGTCATGTTATATTTATATTCCAAGCATAATGTTAGAATTAAAATAGAAAGTCCCATTATATAGATTTTATATTACTTGCACCTGAAGTCTTATAAGGACCTTGTTACTATCAGTAAAACACAAGTACCAGTAATCTCTTTGAAGGAATTCTCATTAATAAATAGGCAAGATTTCATTTGAGCCAAAAATTTGCATTTTTTTTTTTTTCACGAAATTGTAATGGGTATTACATTATATGCACTGGCAAAATCGGATTTCAATCTATTACATGTCAAAAGAGCACACAAAACAAATGGAAAAAGTAGCTTTAAAACATTTATATTGTAGACTGACTAGGGTAAATATTGCATTAACTTTATTTTTAATTCACTATCAGTATCACACCTTTATCCCCACAAAAACACTTTGTGACCTCTGTACAGCTAGTGGTTGGATTTTCAGAAATATCTGAGTAAATCAATTGCCTTATATTTTATTGCATTAATATTTTAACCATTTTAGATTTATAAAAAAAAGTTGGAAGAATATTTAGATGTCAGAATTAAAGTGCTGAAAATTGATTGTTGTTAAACACAAAACCCTATACTACTTGGTTTTAAAAAAAGATATTTCTCATTCAAAAGTTAAGATCCCATCAGGTAATAGGTACTTATCTCATCTTTTCTTTACTAGTTTTACATTCTTCAATATTTCTTTTACTTTTATTTGTGTAATAAAAAGAGTATTTTATAACTGTAATTCATGTTGACCAATATTTAAAGTAATAAACATAATTTTACAATTTTTTACATTTACAAAATTGTCACTTGTAAAGCAATATTAAATTTTTAATCACTAATTTAAAATTGATGTCATTTTACGTTGTAACACATGGGAATTGAAATGAAGGCAGTGTTGTATCCTTATAGAATGAGTCTTGTAGCTTTTACTTTTACTTATGAAAGTTCTACTAGAAATAATGAAATTCACAGCTTTTGTTGCTTATTTCACAGAGTGATTCTTCCTACTTCCTTGTTCACTGCCATAAAGATTTGATAGTGTTGTGCAAGGGGGATATGGTGGCCCTACCTGTAGGGAACTCCTAATCCAGCACCACTGGATTGAGTTCTAGATTAGGCTTAAAAGATTGAAGTCTTTTAACGAGTTAACAGTTACAACATGAAATATTATATACACTTATGTATTGACAGAAAATAAAGATCTATTAATGCAAACATTTAAGCACAAGAAATTATTCTGATATGCCGTTATTATGTATTATGTATTTGACTTGAAATTCTGCCTTTTCCAAATACAGAGTTATCTGCTCCTGTGAGCAGGTGTTGGTTGTTATGTAATTGTTTGTGAGAGAATAACATCATTTTATGAGACAATAATGCAAACTTACACACAAACTAATGACATACCAATCAATATCTGCTAACAAGAGCAGATTACTCTGCATTTGGAAAAGTCAGAATAAGTCTATGACTTACAAATCTGTTGTACATTACAATCAAATGCAACTTTGTCCTATAATAAGCCCACTTTTGACATTGTGTCAAAATATTTTTTCCAAATACAGGACAATCAAAGTAATTTTTTTATATGTTTTTATATTTTACAAGAAATATGTCAAAATCCAGGGTATGTTTTTGGAAGAATATTTTACATACCGCAAACATTTTCCAGTGGAGTTATGTGACACTATAAAGATGCTGGACAATTAACTTAGGATTCAATATGAATTTTTGTCAGATGATAGTTATAGGCCATCAATAAAGGTTGACAGTTGGTGAGATCACAGATGAAGTAGGGGGATATTCTCTCAAAGATTTTATGTATATAAAAGTAAGTGTTGTTGGTGACTGACTTAATGTGTGCTGTTGGCTATACAAGTTACATGGTAATTTTCTGCTTTGAAGTAATACATATTAAAGATGGTTTGATATGTCTGAAGTGTTTTATCATTTTGTCCATTGAAGACAATGTTAACTGTATACATTCATATTGACCTGTACAAAGTGACAAAAAGTACTACATTGTTTTATATAAACTCTTTATTTTCTGCTTAAAGATCTAGATTGATCAATAGATACACATTACACCACTAGTCTATTAATGACTAGGTCTAATGAATGATTAGTAAAACATCTATACCACCTCGGGACTACAGGTTTTGTTTAGGGCTGTTCCAGTAAAACATCTATACCACCTCGGGACTCCGGGTTTTGTTTAGGGCTTTTTCAGTAAAACATCTATACGACCTCAGGACTCTGGGTTTTGTTTCGGGCTATTTCAGTAAAACATCTATACCACCTCCGGACTCCGGGTTTTGTTTAGGGCTATTTCAGTAAAACATCTATACCACCTCGGGACTACAGGTTTTGTTTAGGGCTGTTCCAGTAAAACATCTATACCACCTCGGGACAACAGGTTTTGTTTAGGGCTATTTCAGTAAAACATCTATACCACCTCGGGACTCTGGGTTTTGTTTAGGGCTTTTTCAGTAAAACATCTATACCACCTCAGGACTCCGGGGTTTGTTTAGGGCTATTTCAGTAAAACATCTATACCACCTCGGGACTACAGGTTTTGTTTAGGGCTATTTCAGTAAAACATCTATACCACCTCGGGACTCTGGGTTTTGTTTAGGGCTTTTTCAGTAAAACATCTATACCACCTCAGGACTCCGGGGTTTGTTTAGGGCTATTTCAGTAAAACATCTATACCACCTCGGGACTACAGGTTTTGTTTAGGGCTTTTTCAGTAAAACATCTATACCACCTCAGGACTCCGGGTTTTGTTTAGGGCTGTTCCAGTAAAACATCTATACCACCTCGGGACTCTGGGTTTTGTTTAGGGCTATTTCAGTAAAACATCTATACCACCTCGGGACTCCGGGTTTTGTTTAGGGCTTTTTCAGTAAAACATCTATACCACCTGGGGACTTGTGACCAAATCATGTTAATTTTGTCAATAAAACAGAAGAAAATAGGGCAATATAGTGAGTTATGATCACCCACTGACCTCACCAAGGTCAACCCATACACTAAGTATGAAGTTCCAGTGACTGGTAGTGCAAGAGATTGACCAGACAAACTTTCCTGGGATTTAGGTCCAAGGCCAAAATGTAGGTCAGAGTGATACCAAATACACTGCCTCTCCAAGGTGAACCTGTACCCAAGGTAGGAAGTTCCAGTGACTATAAGTGTAAGAGATAGTGCATTGACTAACTTTTCTTTTCAAGAAAGGTCAGAGTGACCTACTTTTGATACATAACAACGCCTAACAAAGTGAACCCATATCTTAAGTATGAAGTTCTTATGACAACTAGTGTAGGACATAGGGCCTGGACAAACTATTTTTCAGCCCCCTCACCCAGTGAGCAGAAGACAAACACTATACTTTAGTTTCCTCACCCAGGGAGCAGAGGACAAACACTATACTTTAGCCTCCTCACCCAGGGAGCAGAGGACAAAGACTATACCCTGTTGGGTAAATGATAAATATAAACATGTATTGAAAATTTTAAATATTAACAATGGAATGTTCTTTAAGACGGTATGAAATTGGTGGTAGCATTTTTGTCATAGTGACCAAACTCTTAAAAATCTATTGCATCAGTGTCAAAGCAATACATATAGTGGTCCAACTGTTGTGGATTAGAGACTTGGTCAATATGGAGAAGCCCCATATTGCTGAATGGTGGCTAAACATTGTCTATATGCTAACCTTTGAAAGATTTATCATGATTTTTTTTTAAATTTTGGCACATATGAATGTACATGGATAATAATCAAATAACATAAGACTTAAATGAAAGCACTACTGGGAATGACTACCAAACTGAATGCTAGTTTGGGTACACAGTGCTCGGCCTATATTTTAACAATTATGGTAAAAATATGAGAATTTTTTAATGCATGTAAATGGTGGGATGAATCGCAGAAAAAAAGAAGTCTTTAGATTTCAACTCAAAATTTTCATTTAGGGAGTTATACATATGAATCTGATACACCTGAATCCTTAAATTATAGAGAAATAGAATCATACAAACTGACCACAAAACAACTATTTCTGGAATTTAAAGATAAAACATATCACTCCCACATACACAAAATATACATTTTTTCCAAGATATAAATTTTTTGGTCACATAGTAAATTTGAAGTTTCAAATATCTACATACATGTAACTACAATTCCATGAGTTCATTTCATAAAGGCCTAATAGGTCAGGTGTTAAAGTGGCCCTTTACTGTAAGCAGTGGTCACATATTACTGACTATTAATCAAACTGTTCTTTTCTCCAGTATTTTTGAGCAAAATGGTGATAAAATATAGACACAATGCTAACTAACATTTCTTTCAAGCTTTTGTGAAAATATTTTGTAACAATACCTAACAGTCTTTAAAAGTATCAGTTTAATTTAACCAACATATACATATAAATGAATTTTTCAATGTTGCATACTTTATCGTAACATTGCTAAATTGGCTTTGTTAGCAGCATCTTGGCAAGTCTCAGGTTTGTTTTTATAACACATTTTTGTGAAAACCCTCTGCAAGGCAGCAGGTGTTGGATTGTCTGTTAAAAATCTGACCCTGTCATCAGAAAAGGGCTATGTCATATCCTTATGTAATACATATATGATATGCATTACTCTGTAATACAGTGAAATGAGAGACCTGATTCTAATTAAATTAATGCTGTCGTAGTTGCAGTGTTCTATGACAAGACCTCCCATATGTTGGTAGCCACCAGCTACTACAAGGGGACTCCAGCTCCAAATGACTGACTGTTCACAGGGTGACATACAACTAACAAAACACATACACAGTGAAAGAAATACACAGTATGAAATAAAAAAAAACCAAAAAAAAAACACACAAAAATTCTCTGACATTTAAAAATCAACATTTTACTTACAAAAATAGGGTAAAAAGTAGATTATGCAAAGACTAGCTACAATTTATAAATTAATATATTTGTTTCATAAACTATGATTTTCAAGAAATACAGTTGAAATAAGAAATATAAATATGATAAATTAATGACCAGAAATCAACTTTTCAGGCAATATTTTCCATATATTGGCCTTACATACTGGGGTACACTCCAGCAACATTTTGTTATAAGTCTCAAAGCAGTTTGGAGAAGTTTTCCAAAGAGCTAGCTTTAAAAAAATAGCATACAAAACATGGATTAAATACCAAACAATTAAAAAACAACTTGCCCTGTACTATTTAGGTTTTGGTAAGGTAATATCAAATTCTGTCAATATCATATTAAACATTATACAAAATTTTTCTTAATGCCTTATTTAACTTCATATTGATTGACCTTTCACAGAATGCAATAATGCAGGACATTCAAAACAAAATTTAAGTCCACATAATTTTGAAAACAAAATCCACTAATAATGTACACAACAAACAACATTATATGAATCCAAGGAATTTGAATTTTTATCTAAATCCTCAAAGATACATGGAAGGGCTATTAATATCACACATCCATGTCGTGATTTTAATAGTAAATCATTCCTCATCTCATTCCTGGAACAGCCTTTGTTAAATGAAGACTCTAGTAACCTTCTCCCTGTGTTATCATCAGCTATTACCGGATTCTAAGATTTGACTTGTGTCTTCATCATTGTCTCCTTGAATCGAGACATCTTCTCGTTTCGTCAACTGTTCCTTCCACATGCTTGCATAATGGTCTCCCTTAGCGATCAACTCTTCATGCCTATAAAACAGAAATTGACGTTTCCAATATTTCATTCCTCTCTTTTAAATCTAATACAATGTATGTATGAAACAACTGTGAAAACATATTAAGATGATTGTCCTTCAGAAATTGAACCCGGGTCTCCAGTGTGATAATCTATGACTCTACCGACAGAATCAAAGCAGTATATTCAATCAGCTGAGTGACCCGAGTGACCCAAATGACCCAAGACACCTATTTAACACCATCTACAAGCCACAATAACCATTCTATCTACACTTGTTTAATTTATCTGGTATATTGTATTTTACTGGATAAAAGCATATTTTCTCTATTGAACATAATATCCTTTTGTCACGAGATATTTTCATTAAACTCTAGGCAGAAAGTCCACCCTTTCACATACCATCTGTTTTGTCTTTTTCTATCAACTGCATTTTCAATAAGACTCGATATGATGCCAAAACCTTTTATGCAACCGAGCATTTGTCAGAATCCATGGCGCAAAAAGAGAGGTTTTTATGCAGGAATGTGGTATATCATTTTACACTCTCCAAATCATTTGAGACAATTTTATGAAAAACATAACAACTTGGGAATCACCATGTGTACTCTTAACTTCTTTTTATGTGTTATTAACAATTTCTTGAATAATGAAAAAATTTTTATTAGAAAATGTTTCAGCTCCCAATCTGAACAGAAACAGATCAAATCAGTAATTCTAAGTAGTGGATGAAATTACAAACGTATTTCACAAACACCTTTATTTCCTGTTGGTATAGCATAACTCAGGATGCATCTACATATCAATTTTGTACATAACTTGAACTGACATCTGTTCTTTCAGAAATGGAAATCAACTCATTGACACTCATAATTTTTAAACAGAAAATATCTCTGTCCTTTGACAATGTTTTTATATAAACTTGAACTGACATCTGTTATTTCAGAAATGGAAATCAAATCATTGACACAAATAAATTTTTGAAAAGTAAATACCTCTGTCCTTTGACAATGTTTCTAGAGTTTATATAGAGAGAATATGACTTACGTTCCCCGCTCTATGATCTCTCCTTCACTCATCACCAGGATTTGGTTGGCATGGATAATCGTGGACAAACGATGAGCCACAATAATGGTGGTCCTATTTTCACAGACACGGGCGAGAGATGCCTGGATGTTTCTCTCTGTCTTTGTATCCAGTGCTGATGTTGCCTTGAAAATATTTAAGAAAACAACTTGTACATTTCCTAGTGGAAAATGAATTTTATTGTGAACTTTATACTAAAATTCATTATACTTCAAATCTAGAATTCCTTCTTGAACAAAATTCATGCTGAATCCTTAGATAACACATATAGTGAGATGAAAGATATCACAAACTTAAACGATTCCTGAGTTACAGATCATACATCAGTAACCTTCAGATAACAGCTTACCTAAGACACATTCTTTAATAGACTAATGTGTATTTTTAAAATCATTTTCAATGTGTACTATAAAACCAACCATTATCCTTTGTGTCCAGAGCAGAGGGACATTAAGCTACAGAGATTTGCATTTTCTATGTAATATAACTGTATACTGACATCCTGTCAGATGATAAAGAGATAGATTTATTAAAAAATTGCCCCATTTTTTTTGTAAAACAGCTGTTTTTTACATACATAACTGACAGTACTACGTATTCTACAAACTTATCAGTTTAGATCAAGCTCTAAATATTGGATTGTTCTTAAGTAATTACTTACTGGATCATTTATATACATGTTAAATTTTTCTGAGTTAATCTACTGCATCTACTCAACTGCTCACCTCATCCAGTAGGACAATGGCTGGAGACTTGAGAAGTGTCCTTGCTATAGCAACTCTTTGTTTTTCACCTCCACTTAGTTTTAACCCTCGCTCTCCAACAACTGTGTCATATTCTATGGAAAGAAGTTAGCATTTTACATTCTCAGATTTCTGTTTTTGGTCACTTACAACTGTCTCATATTGTAAAGATACCGTGACACAATACTCAAATTGTTCATTTCAGCTCAAGGTTGATTTTTCTTTCTTGCGCAAGAAATGACTGGATTTTCTCCTACACTAAACCTTCCCAATTCCTGAAAAGGCCTTTCAACAAAAGAGTGTTCATCCAGGTACAACTTCTATTCATTTCAATAAAAATAACATCTTTTTACTTTAAATCTGTTGAAGACTAAATATTCAAAATTTTGTGTTCCTGAAACCTCAAATTTTCTTTAAGATCTGAAAATGGAATGGCTTGTCCATTTAAAAAGTTCAGATATTGTGGAAACAACAGAAACATCTTTTGGATGAAAGGTTGAAGTTCAGATTCTTATCACAAATGATTGTTAATAAGGAATAAACCTCATTTGTGTGAAACATAACAAATTTTTATTTGATAGTTTGTACATTTTTTTTCAGAATGGAACATTTAAATAATTAGACAACGTTTTAACAATTTGACTTTCACTTCTTGAATCTAAGAAAATAAAGAATGCTAACTTACTATTTGGAAATGATAAGATACGACTGTGTATATCAGCATTATCCGCAGCATCTTCTACTTCCTGATCAGAGGCTGTGAACTTGCCGTAACGAATGTTATAGCGGATGTTGGAGTTGAACAGCACTGTGTCTTGAGGTACAACACCAATGCACTGACGCAATGATTCTTGCTGTACCTGGCCAAATCAAGATCAAGGTCAAGATGAAAGACAAAATATTACAAATTAAATTCAGATAGATTGTTATAACTAATCATTAACACACTGAGCAACACTAGAATTTATTTTGCTTAAATACATTCTATGCTATTTAGTCCTTTGTCTGTTTGCTGAGTTTATCATCCTATCAACAGACAGGGTGGTGTTAAGGCGAGGTCTCCTTAGAGAAGCTGTTGACTGCCTCATAGAACAACATGCAGGAGGCCCATCACGTGCCATCCAAAGCAATCTTGTAACATGTCTTGCTTAAGGTCACAACCACTTCTGCTTAGACTTATCCATTTCTCAGCTTCCTGAGAAACATAAACTGCCACAAGTAGGAAGTATCAAACACGAAACCTTACAATCTTCCCATGAGGTTACATAGAAAACATTCTAACCAAAAGTGCTATCACAGTCCTCTATTTACTCTTACTGCCACTCAGATAGTAATGGCATTAAACAAAGTGTGTTATAAAAGTCATTTAAGCAACAAACCAGTCACAGTGACCTGTATTTGACATATTGGGTTTTTTTCAAAGTTTTTATGCTATAGGCAACCAAAAGTCCATTAGAAGGATCACATCTTGACAAATATGATTTTATGATATGGGTCATTTAAGGTCATGCCAGGCTTGGTTAGTGGAGGAAAGCTCCTCATCAGAGGAAAAAAAAACTGACCTGCCCCAAGTACATGGCCACTGCCCTAGGTAGGCATCGTACCCATAACCCAGACGTAGAGGGCAAGTGACAGTCAGCTTTAACCACTCAGCCACTGTGGCCACTTTTTATCTTTTTAATACCCAGAATAACCAATTTCATGTTTACAATGTTAACCCAAAAGTGAAACATTTTGGCTGAGTCAGATGGTCCTTAACCACCAGAAAACCACAAAAAAAATGTTCAGTAATTTAAGATATTTCTGAACAAAAATTTAATAGGAATGCCTGTCATATTTCAATACAGACTCCTTACTTACCAGAGATATATCTTTGCCATCTATAAGTATGCTTCCACTCTGAATATCATAGAACCGGAACAACAGACGAAGGATAGTACTCTTGCCACTACCCGAGTGACCAACCTTAAATGATAGCAAATGATGACATAAGCTAAATTTAATCTACACACAAATTTTATAAAGTTGATGTCACACAATTTGAAAGAAAAAGAAACAATTTTTCAGTAAGTCTGATATTGCAAAAAACAAGTAAATTTCATGAGATGAAAATTCAAGTTGTTTCATACATTCAGATACAGACCAGGTATGTCTCTGACTAATGGAATATGCGAAATAGTTACTACAATATTTTCTTGTATTACAAAATAAAGAAAAGGCACATCTATAAAATCTTATCTTGTATACTGGGCAACTAAACATAGTCAGATGTAGACATTATAAACATTATCTAAATTTTGGGGTGGTTGGGAGACACAGTGGTAACACATTCATCTTTAACCAAGGTGATTGGGGTTTGTTTTCTCAATCAGATTTGAAAAGATATGGGGTCACTTTCTTTAACATGTGGGTTTTCCGCAGGTACTATGATTTCTTCCAACAGTGAGAACCCTCATAAGGTCAATATAAACTATAAATATTAGCTTGTTTTGCAATTGTTATTATTGAACCCTGGTTGCCTTGGTGAAATGGGAGTGTGCTACCCCAACATCTTCCAACCACCCTGACAATGAAATTTGACCTCAAATAAACCTCTTCATGAGAATCAGCTAAACACCTATGTCTAACCAAAGCCTGTTAGATGGAGGGTAGGAATGTTTCATTTTCTTGACCTGTGAAGAGACATACACATTCATCTGATGCCAAAAAAGAATACTTACAATAGCATATGTCTGACCAGATGGTATATGGAAACTCACATCCTTCAAGATCTGTTTACTGAAATTGAAAAGAAAAAAATCAAGTTTCTACTAAATGTCCTCAAATATATCAAAAACAAATTTGCTTTGAAATAGAGTTTATAGAAAACAAGAATTGTTCAATATCATTAATTCTGATTTGCTTACTGAGTTTATTGCCCACATAAACAACCAGGATAATTAATTCCAACTTATTTACTGCGTTTATTTAGAAAATTTTAAAATATCTGATCAACAAAAGGAGAAAACGATTCACATTTTTAAATAATAATTAAATACCATTTACCTCGGTTCATATGAAAAGTTGACATTTTTCAGCTGAATTTCTCCATTTCTAGTTTCCAAAGGCTTGGCTCCTGGTATGTCTTTGACCTGAAATGCATAAAAGAAAATTTTTTTTAGCTACAGGATTGAACGAGGAATGTTTTCATTAGTACCTGAGAAAGTGCCAACAAATTTCAAAAGTCAAAATCCTAACTGGAGACTGGCAGCAATAATAATATCTGTGTTTAGCAAAACATGAAAATGAAGTTTCTGAAACAAATCTTAAACAGCAAAATCCAAAATGCCATTGATAGCCATCTTGAATATCTAATCACACTCAAGATATGACATGGCCAAGCAAGGACCCATGTTCACAGAACATATTGATAGACTTGGACAGGACAATACCATAGCCAAGCAAAAACAGAACAGGTGCTTGCATAGATATACATCATCTCCAAATCCCTGATCTTTTCATTTTTGTAACTATGTCAACAGCTTCAGAGATACTCGAATCATGTACATAAGCAAACTTTTAAAATATGACCTTTGACTCTTTAACCTTGACTGATGACCACGAAAAGCTAAATAGGTGTATAGATACTATGGTTTGAATATGAACCATGTCTGTTGAGGAAGTGCATGAAACATCTTATACACAACTTATCAAGTTTATCTTTTCAGAAGTGGTTAAATATGACCCTTGACCTTTAAGCTTGAGGTAGAACTTAATGGTTTGATGCTACGATGCGTATATGAGCTAAATCTGTTGAGAGTGTCATGAAATATCTGGTACGCAAGCTTTTCTTTGACTCATTTAACCTTCATTGATGTTCATCAAAATCTATCACAGAACCTACCACATTACCACACAGGCTTTTAAAAAGTATCTTTCAAAATAGGTGTGTAATGTTATGTAGCCAACAAGCATACAGTCATCTCTTGTCTGCTGTATTCTAGTAATGAGAACCAAGCTTTCAAATCTATAATCCTAATCTACTGCCTAGATTTCATATCTACGACCTTGATTTTAAGCAATCAGAATTTATCACTTCACAACTGATGTAAGTGTTTTACTTACCACAAAAAAGTATTACTGCAAATGAAAAGTAATTTAAAATTTCTATGAATTTATTTATAAATAATACTTTGCCATTTTTCATACTTAACCTTAGCCCTAGATTCACCTACCTCTTTTTCTTCCTCCAAGAGCTCAAACATGTTTTCCATGTCTATGAAAGATTGCTGGATCATTCTGAAGAATCAACAAAGTGAATACTGAGACAATATTATATTGATAAAAGTAAATCTTTGACAAAACACTTAAAATTCAGTCAGATAGACTGGACAATGTAACAGACGTCATTATTTATTTCAATGCCTCCAATAGGATTCGAACCCATAATCTCTGGCTTACTAGTCTGATGCTCAACAGATCAAGTTAATGAGAAGTTCTCTCAAGTCGAGCAGTATATTGTGGCTAGTATGTTACCAGGGTTACATCAACATGACTGGAGAGCGGGCAAAGGCAGTCAGCTTTAATTGTGGTTAGAGAAAAATGGCTGAATAGTGGCAAGGACAGCAAGATAAGTGGTGGCTGAATCGATGTGACTAGAAAGTGGATCATACTTGTCAAATCACATGGACAAACCTAGTGCTGGATGATAAATGATGCCAGGTAATGGGTCATGTTGACCAAATAAGTGATAATAAGTTTATTAAGTAAAATATGAGGCTGAATATTGAGCTAAGACAGCTAGATGACAGATGACAATGACTACGATTTGGCAGTGAAGGCAGTGGTGAATGGTAATGAATGTTTTATGTATATAAAGTACTGTTTTGATATCACTTGCAAAAAGAATAAATGAAATTGAAATGAAGCACTATCAATTTGTAATGAAAATAGTCCTCTACTCAAATAAGATCAGCTATGCTTTCTTACCTGTAATAGGTACCGAGCCAGTTAAGGGGAGCATAGAGTTGGTTGATATAGGTTCCAAACAGAACATAGTCTCCAACTGTCAATTTCAAATCCTTTAAGCTGTGGACAACAGCCCAAGCACACAGCAGTGAACCAGTCAGAACTCCTCCTGTGATGACAATGTTTTGACCAGTGTTGAGCAGATTTAGGGAAGCCGTAGATTTCCATTCAGCCGTCTGGAACAATTTGTATTTATATCACATGTGAACCTTTCCAAGTAAAAACTATAGGATTGCTAGATTACTTGAACCTGAGTGACTGTGAACCAAACTTTATTTCATAGCTAATTATTTTTGTCACTTACACATTACAACAAGGTAGCTGAAATCCACTTTCCCCAATAGACTGACCTTAAACTGTTTTCTATTATCTCTGTATCAATTCACAGCAATAAATCTTTTTTAATTTTTTGATCAAGAAATTTGCATATGTAAATTGTACATGGAACGTAATTGAGAAAATGGACAAAATATTACTGAATTTCTTGTTTGCTGTATATGTTGTTGCTGTATAACAAGATTTTATTGTAGCTATCTGCCTGTATATATAACACATATAGTTTCTATAGTACAAGCTTACACTGAGAGACAAAGAGATTTTACTGTAGCTATCTGCCTGTATATATAACACATATAGGTTCTATAGCTTACACTGAGAGACTGCCTGTATATATAACAACACAGAGACAAAGAGATACTAGGTATATATAACTATAGTATAGTACAAGCTTATACTGAGAGACAAAGAGATTTTACTGTAGCTATCTGCCTGTATATATAACGCATATAGTTTCTATAGTACAAGCTTATACTGAGAGACAAAGAGATTTTACTGTAGCTATCTGCCTGTATATATAACGCATATAGTTTCTATAGTTCAAGCTTATACTGAGAGACAAAGAGATTTTACTGTAGCTATCTGCCTGTGTATATAACGCATATAGTTTCTACAGTACAAGCTTATACTGAGAGACAAAGAGATTTTACTGTAGCTATCTGCCTGTATATATAACGCATATAGTTTCTATAGTACAAGCTTATACTGAGAGACAAAGAGATTTTACTGTAGCTATCTGCCTGTATATATAACGCATATAGTTTCTATAGTTCAAGCTTACACTGAGAGACAAAGAGATTTTACTGTAGCTATCTGGCTGTATATATAACACATATAGTTTCTATAGTACAAGCTTACACTGAGAGACAAAGAGATTTTACTGTAGCTATCTGCCTGTATATATAACACATATAGGTTCTATAGTACAAGCTTACACTGAGAGACAAAGAGATTTTACTGTAGCTATCTGCCTGTATATATAACGCATATAGTTTCTACAGTACAAGCTTACACTGAGAGACAAAGAGATTTTACTGTAGCTATCTGCCTGTATATATAACGCATATAGTTTCTATAGTACAAGCTTACACTGATAGACAAAGAGATTTTCTTACCTGGTACTTCTTAATGGCTTCATCATATCTGTTGGTCTCAAATTCTGATGCTCCATAATATTTCACCTTGAATGAAAAAAACAATAAATGTATGAAGCAATCAATCATTAATTCACAAGTGCATTAAACTTATATTCAATTTCACAGGTGATGAGTAATGATCAAAATTAAAATTACCATGTATATCCTACAAAAAGACAAGGGATCTGACACATTACCTCCTACTCAAAGTTGAGGATGGGCTTATTGCAGGACAATTAAATATCACTGGTTTGTATTTTGACTGAACAGCAATAGATAATGGTAGGTCTATTACCAAGCATAAAGCTTACTGCCAGATATATACATCACGGAACATACATTCTGGAATGTACATCAACTTCCTTTAGATAAAATATACATTGAAAACTCCATTTCTGCAGGTATAAATAGTAATAATAATAATAATACAAGTAATTCAATAACATTGTGAAGTATGGCATATGGCTTTTATATCCATTGAATAAGATATTATTGCAAACAAAAATCAAAAACAACAAAAAAATCATTCACAAAATTTCAAAATCTATCACGATAAGGTTCGTTATTTTGATTTCTATTTTCACTAGTTTCCATGGAATTACACAGCTGAAAATAGATACCATGAAAATAAATTCAGTAAAGTAAACATTAGTTGGACTTCCATGAAAAATACATCTCTTTTGCAACAAGATTTTTGTAAAACAGGGAACATATAGATACCATAAAAAAATAGCTTACAGTTTTATCAACACTTCAAAATACAAATTTAATTGTTGAAATTATTTTCTCTTAAAGCCTTAATCGCTATCATTTCCTGGACTTCTGCTTACCGTTTCAAAGTTGAGGAGAGAATCAACAGATTTAGAGTTACGTTCATTGTCCAATTTGTTCATATCTCTTCTGTATTTGGTCCTCCATTCTGTTACTCCAATGGTTACCGCTAAAAATACACAAAACGAAGTAAATACTGTAGAATAGTTAATTTTCATGGATTCTTATTATCCTTAATTTCATTGGTCTATTCATATGTCCATAAAATAGTGAACAAAAGAAAATTGACATGAACTTCAGAACCATACTAGTGGATTTTGTGAGTAAGATATATCCATAAAAATTGTAAACCAATCTTTTTGTAAAACCAGGAATTTCAGCCAAGTGAAAATAAATGATTTTCAGCACAGGGATATTTATTAAGTTTTGATATGTGACAAGCCCAGTACTGTGAAGTAAGGAATATTTAGTATGTAGAATACTTCAGATGTTGAAGCTATGATAAAGGATTCACAACATTAAATATTTCCGTGTATGTTCAGTTTAAAAAACATCAAAATTGTGACACATTGCATGTCCCTAAGGTCATATGTAAGCTAATTCCATAACACATGTATTGATAATATCTGCTTAAAACCACAAACACATCCAATTTTTACAAGATCTTTTCAAAATTAAGTATTCTTCACAAAGAGTTGGTGAAACCAAGTGTTTTTGTCTTAGAATTATTACTCTATACTTACAGGCAATTCATTTTAAATATGCATTCATAATACCTTGAAAGGAAGACTGGTTCAGTCAAAGAAGTGACAGAATGAAATATAAAGTATAGTATTGACATAGCTTGAGATCTGTAGTTTTTCATTGGTCTTCTCAGCTTGTTAATTTTAATTTTGAACAACTGTAACTCTGTTTCGTGCTGTAATTCTGTGCATTATGACACATTTTTTATGACACTATCACTGATTTATATTTATTTGATTATCGATTATGAAAATGGAACTTGTTTCAACTGCTACCAGAACACTGACAGAGGCCCAAACTACCTGTCTGATCAAATAACACTACATAATCGTCAAGCTGAATGAATTGAGTAAGAATTGTAAACTTTGAATTTTCAAACCTAAAAAAAACAAAACAAGGCACTTTCATTCACTGCCGTTACCACAGAATTCAACAACCCTTCCCTAATCCTCTGTAAGCCTAAATAAATCAATCTTTTAATCAGAAGCTGGTTACCTGAAACTCCTTTATTTAAGAAATAGTTGGACGTAATTAAATAGTAAAGCTATGACTAAACTTTGAATAAAAGGATTCATGACGCAAAGATGCTCTCCAAGATTTAAAGTTACTCTCCCATTAACTGTTTAATGCTAACTGTGCTATCCCGAATGATATCAAGAGAATTAATTAATGATGAATACTTACCGAGATATAACGCCATACACACAAAGACTACCAAACCAAAGAGGTAGTTAAACTGGGTGATGAAGTACACGATGGCGATGATAATATCAACAATGGTTGGTAAGATCTGGAATACCACGTAACTGAAAGGAAACATAATGCAATATTAAAGTAATATGTCTCCAGAGACCTACTCAAAGTTGTTTTAAGAGGATCAACTATCACACAAACGACAGCAGTCTCTCAATTAAGGTAGTCTCTTAACATAAATGGTTTCTCACGGGCGGTTCAATAACAACAAAAACAACACTGCATTTAATACAGGTGGTATCTTAACTGTCATTTTGTTTTAAGTTTGAAATAGCCTTATTTCAAACTGTATAACCAAAACCTTACATCTGGCTAATACCGGCGGTAAATGATATTAATGACATCAAGAAAATATGACCACTAAAGGTAAATCTAACAGCTTATTTCACTGTAATTTGAAAGATAGTGACATGTCTAATTTGAAACAAATCATGGATTTTCTGAAAAATTGTCAAAAATCTCATCACATCTCCAAACTTTTACTACCATTTTCAAAAACATGTTTTCTTGAAAAAAAAAATCAAATAATAAAATTTTATATTCTGTTGTTATAGACATTAGGGCTGAAGTTTAAACACAACATACAATTAACATTATACCTTAGAAGGTTGTTGATACTGTTTGTTCCTCTGTCTACGACCCGTAGTACCTCCCCTGTCTTCCTCTGAAGGTGCCATCGTAACGACAGACTGATGAAAATAGCCAAATAAATATATATAAATTTTCATACAATAAACATTCACATACATGTACACAAAGGGTGTCAAAGGTGTACAATTTTTAAAATCATTTTTCAATAGGTATTAAGCAGTAAACAGGACTTCATTTAAATCATATCATTCTTAGCTACATAATAATTCATTACTATCAAAGATTCTCTGTTTAAATAAACTTTTAGGTGGTAAAACAATCCTTGCATGAGGTTTAAGTTAAGACATCATTAAGCATTAGAAATTCTGTGAAGTTTATTATCAGGAAACAAGAAATTTCAAATAAGTTGCTGGTATATTTCAGTAAAACATTTTTTTTTTCAATTTTATCTTATTTTTCTTTGTAAAAGATTGCAAAGTTTAACAGCCTCTTTCATAAGTATAAATTGTTCTGACATACATGAGTTAAATTTGATAACTATGAAATATGGACATATTAATTTTACCTGTGCAGATGGTGAAAAAGTTTCACCTGTATTTTCCGGGTAGTAAATTGTTGAACTGGTATCCATAGAAACGTTCTTATGTTGCTAAGGAATCCTGAAGTTCCTATAAACAAGAAACACATTGAAAATGTCATTTAAAAGGTTTTTTTTCAAACTACAACTAATGTATATTTAAGTCATTTTCAAAATAAGAAAACTGCTTTACCTAATTTTCAAAAATCTGATAGTCTGGATAAAGATTAATCACATTGTATGTGATGTATGATAAACATTAACCTATCAAGCTTTTCTGTGACCACGACTACAACAAAAGTTCTCAAAATGACCACAGCTCTTGAAAGGACAACAATTAACAAAAGTGTAATTTTAACAATTACGGTTTCTTCTCCAAGGAACCTATCCATCTTTAATTCTACATAGACTGTATAACTAGTAAATTAGCCATAGAAAAGACTGAATTGTTTCTTGTAAAAGGTAAACAATATCTACATAATGTGACAAAAGTGACACCAGGAGTCTTTAGTCAAAAACATCTCTTCCAATACAGCTGGGTTACACAACATCATACCTGAACCACCGCCCTTAAAGAATATCAGAACGGAGTAGATGAGGATATAATTCCAACAAAACTCTGGCTTGTGTACATCTTCTGTGACTGTTGTACTCACTGGTCCCTCTGACAAACTGTTCACTGCAAACAAACGTTATATAAGTCATATGTCATATTGTCATAGATACCTAATACCTTGATATATGTACTTCACATAGGAATAAATGGTGAAACTGCAGTTAGCATGGTATGAATGTAAATAGGGTCACATGACTTGGTTATAAGACCAATGACATTGTAATTATATTGCTGATGTCAAATCCTGTTCAATGAAACTGATTATATAAACAGTACACTTAGATTATTACTTTGCTAAAGCCTGTTTCTTACATCTGCTGTTAGTTTTCAGTGTCAAGGACAACATTCCCTTGAGTGTTCAATTTTGAGAGGTCCAATGTTAAGTAACTCTCAGGTAAAAAATGCTGCTAAATGAATTCAAAGACTCCTAGTACATATGAATTCGCTGTAACTGTCTCCTGTAACTATGACATACCTATGTATTTGCTGTATATTGGTACCAAGACATTTATACCCCGTCCCGCACCCAGAATCACAAGACACCCAATAACAATGAGTTGACGCCACCAACTACCCTTGGGCCACACATAGGGTAACATCATCCGCAGTTTCTTTAGCACATTGGCCCATGTTGAGCCCTGATGAGTCCTTGACCTACTTCCGTCTTGCTGAAAAGATATATACATGTAGATGGAGAGTCAGATATGGCAGCAAGAAAAAAGCTTTTCTACAGGCGATAAATACAATTTGTAATAAAGACAATAGATATGGCTTCTGCAGACTGTATTGTATAACATGCATTTTACCACCGATATTCACAAAATATGTAGACTTCATTTGTGTATGGCTATGATTTTGATAAGATTTACACATTAAAGAAGTATTCTATGTATAAGTATGTAAATTCATCATCCTATACACTAGAATAAAAACCATTGCATCTGAGCAACATTTACCTACATTATACCATAGCTAGAACAAAAACACAAAAAACACCTGTACTCTATCTGACCTTGGCTTATTGGAGCATGCAATGCACTTTAGTTTAAGTGCTCAAGCAAATTTTTGTTCTGCCTCTTAAAAATATTGCTGAAATTTCCCCTTTATTTTTCAAACTAAAATTATTTTTTTCTGCTTCTAAAGGGTTATGCTTTGAATTTCATTAACATGCAATGCTCTTATTAGGTTGAATATGGTATGTATACCAGTACCAAGAGAATACAATAACCTGTTCCTCATCGTTGATCAGTAGATGGTATCTACTGCTTGGCACACCTGGAGCTCTTAGACCTATAACTACAACCAGGAGAGTGCATACATAACGCACCACCCAAAAGCCAAACTCCATCTTGTCTGAATCCCTTTAAAATAAACAAAAAAAAAACTGTAATGTAAGTCTTGTGAAAATAAATGAAATCAATTTTCAAAAACACTTTTGTCCAAAATATGGATATTCTTACATATATGACAATGTAATAAAACCCAATCAAAACGTTTAATGCTCATATTTTTTCTTGAATATCAGGTGAAATAAATTTAAATAATTCATACGTTTTAAGAGACCACCACCACAACGGGCTCCACCACGAAACAAAAGCCAAGTTCTCTTTAATGAATGCCAGGCCCCAGATTCCTAGGAGTACCAGGCCATGTCCGCGGGTCGGAATGGATGGCAGAGCACTGTTTCGTTCCAACAATAGCAGGCGTATTGTTGATAACCAGACAACAGACATAGCAAGTGCTGATAGTAACTGATATCCCACTACATATTTTGGCTCAATTACCACATCCTGTAAGATGACGTGCACAACAGCTTCCAATGCAAGAAGAAAAGTGAATATCATCTGTAAGGAAAATCCACATGATCCTTCCTGGAATCTCTTTTTATCAACTGGTATTGAGTACTTCCTGAAGATTGAACACTGAATACATCCACATATCAACAAGAAAACAAATATGATAGAAGTTGAAATCGTTTCCAAAAAGCAAGGGTTAATACCCTTATGTGACCAAACTGTTGTAAAGCTTGTTGCGTTATAGCAGAACTGCATGGTGACAAATTAACGTCTTCAAAAAACAGGAAACAATCTGAAGAATAGAAACAGAAATTATTGTAAGTAACAATATAGTACAATTACTGACAATGTATTTAGATATTATACAATGGAGTAGGTTGGATGGCTGGGGCCCAGGCCTCATTGGGGGGATGTCATTTTGAACAGTATACATCTACAAAAATGATGAAAAATAATTAATTTCATAAGCAGAAATAGTGTGGATAGGTGGATGAACTAGTTATGTTAAAAATTTAATATAAAAGGATTTAATTTTTTCTAAAGTGATATATTAATAAATGAATCACATACTTCCATTGGAATTATTCATGTAATATGCTTGCCAATGCTTCCAATAACTTCTGATTTAAGACCCCTTATTTTGTTACTGTCAAATTGTTGGTCAACAATTTTAGTTAATATTATGATTGTTACTTCTAAAACAAACAACAATGAAAATTCAATTAATCAATGTCTTCCTCCACATTTAACTCACACTTGTTTATTATGCAGTTTTAATAAAGAGTATAAAGATATATGTTGATATATACTTGTAAATCATAGCATTAATCTATATCATTCAATGTTTGATCATCTCTGCACCCAAGTACAAACATTGTCTTTAAATGTTAAATTCTCCATCAATTCAAGTCAAATAATGCAAATTATCTTATGTAAGCACTAAATAATTCAATTTTTTTCAGACTGGTAGAATATACATCTGGTGGAATGTATTTTCATTACCGGTATGTGGGTAGTGTCAAGACAATTTGACAATTGAAACTTCTTGGAATATTACTGAAGTGTGTCTGCTGAACACATACACAAGTATTACTCAGATATTGGGTAGAGTAGAAGAGAGATTTTATTAGCGGTGTCAGGAAGAAACCCTATAAAGTCATCTGTCGTCTAAGGTTGTCAAATCGGAGAGACGCAGACGGCTTAGTGTCAAAGACTCATTTAATATAATATTCACTCACAGGCTGCTATATTCGGTAATTGAGCATGATCGATCTAGTTTTTCACACGCATGACCACAATATATTTCGTGGAAATAAAAAAATTATTATTTGATACGCTTGTTTACATATAGAACTGATAAACTTTATAACTTGTGAAATTTGTGCTAGTGTATTATATCTTAGGTATTAATTTCAATTAAGCCGATAACCTTCCTGTTCACAGTGTTATCGAATGCCTTATAGGAGTCAAGTTATCAAAACTTACCCCAAGTGAAGTGCAACGTCGACTAGTCGAGTCTTTGTCAGTCTTAATGTTGCACTCTGTAAAATGAGCAACTATATATACTATAGACAATGCATACACGAGAGTCTTCGAGAATATTCCAACCAGGGCAAGCTTCACACCATGACTTGGCAAAACACCGACAGCTTTTCGAGTGTTGCCGCTATGGATTTTTCGTAACCTATAGGTCAACTTCACGCTTGTATGAATGAAAGCCAGTTTGAGGCGATTATCAAACATTTGTCCGATTCTGTCTGTCTGGTGTATAAAAAACAATATAACCGGACAAAATTCCGGACTTGAAGCAGGCTTAATAAAACGTGTGGTAACAACTAGTGTAAGCAAATACTCTTCCTCTAGATTTTAAATTGTTAAAAATGAAACTGGAATAGTTCAGGTCTTGAACTTAACCTAATTCACCTCAGTGCATTGTAACCATCCTGTGGTGTTTTTAAAAATCCTTTTACCATCTCGTCACATTATTTTTTTTCGCATATGCGAACATTGTACGAAGGCCTAGCACAGTTGACTATAATGGTCGGGTCCTTACTCTTCTTCGTAGCCATCAAAACATCACACTCTAATCTTCTACTGGTTGTGTTATAAGAACTTATATTCTATTGACATTACCTACCCTGCCATTGAATCTGCTCCTGATTTCTACACTCCGAGGCTAACTGAGTAACAGATTAAATGTTAAATATTCGATTACACGTTAAAAATATATCTAGGTATATATGTATAGATAGATAGATAGATAGATAGATAGATAGATAAAATACGAAACATTTGAAATAAAAAAGGTAGGAGTCAAATGCCTCGCTGATAAACACCTTAAGTTGAATTTAGGTTTTCGAGCCGTTGTAACGTGAAAAAGTGACCCGGGTCTTTATTTTATGAAGAGAACTTACCCGGGCAGCTGTATAAAAATGACCCATGGTTGTTAAAAAACGACTCGGCTTCCGGGTCAAATTTCTACGGTATAGTTTTTCAAAATGAGGAATAATATTACATAATTATTGAATGTACAATAAGTTAATTCAACGATATATCATCAAGTGTATATGAAAACATGCATCAAGGCCAAAGCCGATTAGTACCAAACAAAAATACTATCTCGTTATCACGACATGAGTTATCTTGTTATTGCTAGATACATGTACGTTATCTCGTTATTACAAAATATTTTTTCACGTTATTACGAGTTAAGCTATTTCGTTATTACGAGTTATGTTATGTCGTTATTACGCGATACGTGTATACGGAAGCGTATAGGAGAAAGGCATAATTGCATAAAATCAACACAGCAAATGCATTATATATATAGGACTCAGAAACACAATTAACTGACGAAGGAATACCATTTTGACTCATGCCCTATCCGAACCTCGAACTCACGATCTACGGTACCAAATCGCCTAGCCAGAAATATACCACTACACATACTCTACATCCATAAAAAAAGATGTTTTGAAGTTGTAGTAAAAGACGGTCCGTACCCTGACATGATCATTGTGGCAAATTGTCTATGAGATAATGTGTGACACCTGGATCACAATGTATATTTATCACATGACTTTGGTGTTTTGCAGTGTAATAAATCCATGTCATAAATTTCCTTTATTACACTTATGATAACACTTTCCAATTGTGACGTCACAATCGAAGAACAATCAAATGACGTCACGTTAACAATAGATTGCGTCAGGAAATGGCAGGAAGAACGTCTGATTCAACAATTTTTATCTTATATAGATATCGTATCCCGTTTAATATACAGAATTTGAACTAAAATCCCTCAAGAGACTTATCACAAGATATGCAAAACCTTTTATATTGCTATAATTCAACTTGATAGATATTTGAGGAAACAATGTTATCTGTCATACGAGATCTATCGCTTGGTTCCTTGGTAATCGTAATTAGTATTCTCCACTCAGATCTCTGACTACCTTTTTCGTGACTATTTTTAACAACGGGACCTAACGATGAAATTTAAGAAAAAAGGTACAATGCACAACAAGGGACCAAGGGAAAACTGCATATGAATGAAAATAGCGGTAACAAACTTTTACTTTCAAAATCCAAGATGCCCCCCACATACACACCATCACACTCACAAATGGTCCATCGTAAACTAATTATCCTGCGCGATGCAATGAATTGAAAACTTTTGCTATTGTGCCTACATCGTGGATACACTGAACATCTTGTTAACATTTTGCGATCTCGCAACTAAATTAGCTGTCCATTAATGTAATTGAAATACATTAATTCGAACCTCGCTATATCGAAGTCAGCGAGACTGTGTAAAGTTTGCACTTATAATAAATTGTAGTTAACAAGTTTCAACTGTATTTTAAAAAACACCAGAAATCCTTTCAAGTTACATTTTCATTCACAAGAAACTCCTACACTTTAAAATTGCCTGGGGTATTTTTCTACGGTAGGTCACTTTTTCACGTGACGGAAAACCAAAAATATCGAGGCGGGTCATTTTTCTACAGGCATCCGGGTATGATTTCTATAGAAGAATAATGACCCGGGTACATTTTCCCTTGTAGAATAATGATCCCGGGTACTTTTACTACCCCGGGTAACTTTTTCACGTTACACTGTAATTCAATCTTCATGTTTTCATAGTTCTGTCATAAAGTTATTCACACAATTGTTCTTCTGTATTAAAAAAGTTCATATATTCTGCAAATCATACTTAGTTTAATTGTCGGCAAATATCCATTAAAATATTAATTCTTGAAATTCCAATATGTAAATTGAATCATAACCCAAAATGAAATTCAATGAAACTACGGCAAAACATGACCAAAAGAAAGATTTACAAGGAGACAGCTCAAAACAGTACATGCACAATGAGAATAAGACTTGGTGTTCCGAAAGAGTAAGCGTCGTAGCGAATTTTTATATGAATGCATGCTTTCAAGAAAGGGTCCCAAAGGCGAAATCCCGGTGGAAGGTCAGGAGGCAAAGTAAATTAAAAACAAAAGAAAGAAAACATATATCAATGGAACTCGAGTGTGTGCTTAATATTCATCATTGCTATGTCACTGGTTCATCATTCAGCATACCCATGGGTATACCACAGACTAACCGCACGCTCCTCTGTTTTACAAACTTATTTCATTTTTTAACTAAGTCGTTCAAAGGAGCGATACACAACTTAAAAGCCAATACAACGTACCGTTATGCGACCTTCGATTTTGCCATTAAATGTTCCGGTGGTGTAGAGAACGAAATCGATTGAAACAAGTGTCCAATGCGATGTGCAAACGTGACCTAGTTTTCCTTTCCTCGATAGCAACATTCATGCTTCTCCAATCTATGGTGATTACAAACTGTAGTTAGATATTTATGTGGGACTGTCAATATCAAGATTGTTAGGTATCGTCAGTTAAAAGATAATCTTGCAACACAGATTGAAGAGATTGAGATTCTTCTTCATGTCTAGCTTGGATACATTATGCATTTGACGAGTTCGGTTTTCATAAAATTATCATGCTAGTTAGTTTCCCCATTAAAAGCCGTTTTTACACGAATTCTCCTACTTTTTTCAAGGATCAGAAATCGTAAAGTTCGATAGATCAAGTGAAAAGATGGACAAAAGATTTGTACAGGGATCCTATATTCCAAACAGGCGTCTTATTCTTTGGAAACAACATCCTTGACGTCAACCAATTTTTTGACATATTCTCAATAGGATAGCAACAAAGAAACCATTGTCATCTATCGAGCAACATTCAAATAATCAGCCAATCACACGACAGAATTTTGCATGACCATTTTTATAAGTTGCTGTCCAAGGTATTCAATATATTCAAACATGTCCTAAAAATGAAAGTCAATTTTATCACATCAATAACAATTACCTACATAAGACAGCATTATTGCATTTGATGTTTTAAGTTGGAATAATCATGATTCTGCTAAAAACCTTGCAGACAAAGTCGGAAGTGTCCTTTCAAACTGTATCAAGGTAAAATGGGCACAGAAGTCATCATATTACAATTGTGAACAGCAGTTATTTTTTTAAACTTCATCATAATCATAGAACTGGCAGGAAAGATGTCAAAGTACTTTAATTTATAAGGAATCTTGTTTAAAATGCTAAATTTCCAAAACGTAGGTGAAGTTTCCCCCCCAATTCTGCATGAACAGAAGTATTACTGGTCCTTATTGGAAATTTTTTCAAAATTTGCTGCCAGTTTTGAAGCACAATTGTAAGCTTGCTTTTTCTTTTTTGGTCTTTTGTTCACTGCTGCATATACTAATTACCTCTGCTGTCAGTAACCAATGTGATGGTCTTGTTTTGAAATTCAATACTGTTGGTGCTATATTTGGAACCTCAACCATTTCACCTGCCAGGAACACAAATACCCCTTTTGGCAATGAAGTTGGGAACATTTCAGTGTTAAAGACATTGTTAAGAGTTGAACTCATAAATCATGGAATAAATCCCACTGGAAATAGCTTTACCACTTTGTAAAAAAATTTATGAACATTTTGGGAGTTTATTGACGATTACTAATACAATTTGTTATTTCAGTTAAATGACCATTATTCTAGAACAAATACATGTATACTGGTCATGGATTAAATGAGCTATGACAAAACTATAAAGGAATGACAACCAAGTTGCCAGGGTAACGCATGTCTTGACCATGAAATGGTGGGGGTATACAAATCTTTTTACTGTAATGGCCCTTTAAATAAACGTTTTTAGATGTGGCAAGAAATACTGATACTATAAAACATAAAAAGAAGAGTTTTGTTTTGTTGTTTCTTTATTTGACGGGCATTTAAAGTTCCTTCATTTCTCTAAGACGACGGACAGCACTCCTGACGGTAGCAGCAGCATTGGTACTGAAAGAAAAACACAAAAGAATATAAAACAGAACGATCACATAAGACAGCATGATGTATACAGGTTAATTATGGATTCAACATCTCATTGGAATAATATAATAATCATTCTATTGTGAAATGTCAACTAGAAATACCAGTCGATAACATTATTGTAACTGTATATACATTGTAAATGTTGACTAATCCATGCAGTTCATCACTAAGAATAAGAAAGCAAATAATATTTGAGTCAACATAGCTACATCCTGGTGATCAGAATATTGGTGTTTTTACCAACAAAATAGATCATGTATAGCTATCAAAGTCATAATAATGACTTGATATATTATAAAGATTGCAAATTATAACTGGAGCAGGATCTCACCAGAAAATTATTTTCTGATCAGTGGGTATTTTTAAGTGTTTTTTTACCTAACTTATCAGCCCTTCGAAAAATTCTGAGCACAGAAAAAATAAAGAGACAATTTGGTTCTCGAAAAGTCATAAGAATATGTTATCTTTTTGAGCCTTACACACTTGACAACTGGACAATTCAATCTAGTCTTTACTATTTACCTCCTGCAACAACCTTTACGTATTTAGGCTAGTGTCATTCTTGCACGATCATTTTATACTATATCTAAGACATCAATTAAGTGGATAATAATCACCTGTATACCCAGGCACCACCAGCAACTGTCTTCCTGCAACGTCTGCATGACCAGATACCAACAGCCTTCCTCTTCATGGATTCCTAAGGTCAGAAAAAAAAGAATCCATAAAAAAAATGCTGAATACACAAATCCTAATAATAATCTTATAACAGAATTTTTTGCAGAAATTCACTGACTGTAATAATAGTCACCAATAGGCACATTTTGTAGATACCGAGAGAGATTTGGACACTGACCTACAGCTAAATTTCATGTGGTTCTAACAGAATATAATATATCCACACGATGTAAACTGCATGACACAGCTGTTTTGTCCTTCTTGGACTCTTCAATAATGTCAAGGGCCAAAATTTTGAAACCTCTTTCTTCTTGGATGTTTATGCTCCTTTAAAACCTGGAGACAACTGCCCGAAACCTAAATTAAGTTTAGAAATTTTCTTATTATACGTAATAATTTCAAAAGCACAACAAATACACGTGCATAATCTGACAGATGCTACTATCCAAATAAATATAAACAAGGCATGCAAGTTACAGCAAACTTTAGAGGACTAAACATTTCTACTACCAGCATTTTTTTTATTTATATCATTATTTCACAGAAACTCACAATATTAACATCTAGCCTCACCTGACCAGTGCTTAAACACAAAATAAGATTTTTTTTGCTGTCGAAATACTTGTCAGTGATAGAAAAATTAGTCACCGTAGTTGTTATGCTTTTTGGAAGCATGATTAACCCCATTGGTTCACCTGGACATTTAAGTCAATAATACAAAACTTTACATTGCCTTAGAAGGAAAATATTTCCCCTGATGAGCCTCATCCCACATATACAGCTTCAAATTCCATAGGGGGTGGGGACTGAGATCAGTTGTTAATCTCTTGATGTCCAACAAGACCCACCATTTACACAAAATTGGTTCCCCTATCCCTAAGGAGGTTTCAGACCAAATTTTATTCAAATCTGCTCAGTCATTCATGAAAAGTTGCAATATATAGTAAAAGTTGACAGGCGTTGGACACCGTGATATTTCTATACATTCAGGATCTATGGAGTAAAATGTGGACAAAATTTAGCTTTGTACTGTATTATGTACAGATGTCAAATCCACTTAGGATGCAATACTTTTCTTTTGATTAAAATGTTAGACAATAATCATTTCAAAATAAGAAAAACATGCAAACTTCCCTGGAATCTGAATTTAATTTGACAGTTGTCATTCACTGAAGGTAGACTTGGCAGCCGTCTGTTTGAATATTTGAATTGCCACAGCATTTTTTGAGAGCTTTCTTATTAGAAGTTCAAAATTCCTACATCGCAAAATCACCACGATGAGTACTGAAATCACTAGTTTTGAGGAATAAGAACCGAAAATAAAGTAAGTGTTAGAGCACTGTTTCCGTTCGAATAATGGTCAGATTTGTCTAGATCTATGCCATCTAACAATACCACTTGTAGAAGTTATGATATGTTTACCTTGCCGCAGAATTGGCATGTGTATTTGCAATGCTGAGAGATTTCCATCTTTTTGACGGTCTTCCTCAGTGAGGCACCATAACGTGTACCATACTTCCCGCAAATTCCAACCTTCTTGGTTCTCTTGGCCTGCAATATAAAGCAATACATCAGAACTTTCAATCAGAACAAGGACGTTAAGCTCAAAAAAAAAAAAAAACTTTCAATCAGACCCATCAAATACGAGCGAACATACAGCAACGTTTTGACATTTGCGTCCGTTTTTTTTATGTTTCATTGCAAGTGAAAGTAAGGACTCACTTTATGTACACAGGATTAATTTACGAACTGCTACAGGTGAGAGTAAAGGTCTCAACATTATTCATTAACACAAAGTAAATGATCGTCTTTATCAACTTATCCGTAGTGTAGAACTGATCTGAGTAGGGTACGTAACCCACTCAAAGTCAACTCAATTTTCAACCGACTTTTACGCGACATTTTGTTGTCAGAACTACATATCCTTAAAACAAAGAACACAGTTCTACTTTCAAGGCGATAAAATGTACACAATCTTTATTGAATTCAGTGATGTTGATGGATTTTATAACGCTCATACCATTTTCAATGCCTGTTTATTTTCTTGCAGGAAGTGGAAAGGAAGGCTTAAAAGTAGACACCGCGGATAATGATAATCCGGAACGAAAAAAAAATTTAAAAAATAATAACTTGCAAAACATAGCACAATTACTTCGGATGATTTATCTTTAATCAATCAACAATATTATAAGATCATTATTGGAAACTAAGTTCAATCTGGAGGAAATAAAATGTAATCAACTGACAACTTCCGGTTTGACCAATCCACGCATATGTCACTTCCTACTTTTGATTGCACAAGCAATGTAAAGTGGTCAATTTCAGACAGCAAGGTGGGTTATGAGTTGCTATCGATTTTGAAACTAGTTATGTTGACTTTGTCATGATATGTTTACCAGCATATGATTGTTCATAAATTGTTTGGATTTTGATGTTATTGGTGAAGAAGTTCAGAAACACGTGGTAACTGATCCGGAATTTGTCACAAAAATTAAGTTATAAATGTATATCTGTATAAGAACAGAAGCTGACCTACACTCGAACTTAAGATTGTGGGATTTGGAACAAAAACTTTTTATTCATTTTTGTACTGCATTTGACGGTCATAAAAATGTCATACGAATGTAGCTATTCATATTTCCATATCCTATTTTATATAAAGGAACATGTCTGGAATCACCTCTCTCTTCATTAAACAACAAATCAGTTTTATTTCATTTACTCATTTCAGTTGCCAAGAGATGTCGCTTTACACTTGTATTACTTGCCGTGTTGGCTTTGCTGAAGTTGAATTACAGCGGAGCCACTACAAAACGGACTGGCATCGTTACAATCTAAAACGAAAAGTCGCAGAACTACCCCCAGTTACTGCTGATACGTTTCAACAAAAAGTCCTCGCCCAGAGAGCAAAGGTAAGATATTTCGTTTCTGTAGGATTTTCTACATTTCATTTTTAGTAAAAGTGATCTTACTCCATTTTCATAAATCTCAAAAAAATATCTTGATCAACTCGAAGACATATGTTTAAAATATATCTTAAAAGTTTTTTATAGTATGCCTTTATACGGTTAATGGAGGCTTGTCAGAAAGAAAAATATCAGGGTTGATAATAAGGTCCAAACAACAACCCTGGTTCAACTGGTTAAATGATCAACGAAAACTACCCTATTCCGCTTTTAATATATTTCAGAAGAATGATTTCTTGCATGCGAGGTATAATTGATTTTTTTAATCTCCAGCACCATTACTTATCACAGGTTGCAGAGGAGCAAGAAGACCAATTTTCTCAGTGTGTTTTGTGTAACAAGCACTTCAACACCAAGAATGCATATGAAAATCATCTTAAGTCCAGGAAGCATAAAGAAGCAGTCACAAAACAGACAGCTAAACTGAAAGATGAAGTTGTAAGAAATAATGAAAAAAATTCAGAAAAAAATGTACCAACAGATCTTACTGGAAATGAGAAAAGATTGATGAAGGACTGTGAGAACATGGCACGTAAAACAAAGCTTTCGCTTTCCCAGTCATTGGCAAAGACAGAGGCATCTGCATTGAAAAAGAGTAAACCAGGGAATGACATGGAGATCTCGGATGATGAAGGTTTGTTGTTAAGGACCATTTACACATATATCTGTCGTTATTTATTTGGTTGGATTTACCCATACAATATTGTATATTTTATGGAGAAATATTGTGGAACAGTTCTAAGTAGAGTTGCATTCTGTAAACTGGCCTCAAAACAATTCATATTTGAACACACCGTTTTTTTTCCGTAGTCAAACATGTAGAAACATTGTCCTACTAAAGGACCATCTCGGCTGTGTAATGCCAGATACCTTCCACAGATTATAACCTAATTTTGCAGGAAAATGGCATTAAACTCTGATTGTATTTTCTGTTTGAACCACTCTGCTTAAACAGACACATATCAACCATATCACTGCAGTAATGAGTAAACCTGTCTGTAAAATCAGCTTTCAGTTTTATACTGCTGCATCATATACATATGTGCTCACTTTAAGGCAGCAGTACTACAATAACTGTTGTATATGACTGCCAGGTATGCTGACATAGAGGTTCTGTAGGGTGAATATTTCATGCTGTATGCAGAGAAATTGTCAATGCAGGTTTAGTTTCCTCATTTTTGCCCTTTTTCTGTTAAGGCAAAAGTAGAAGATGGACGAATGTTTTATACTACAGCTGAAATGGAAGTTTGTATGCAGGGCTCTCACACCCCATTTTGGGCCCGGGGCCCTTAGAATTGGGAAAAATAATGGTGTTTTCCTTAGAATTGGGAAAACTTGGGGTCTAAATTGGGAAAAAAAGATACTATTTTGCATTGGGAATGTATTCGGCCCAAATCTGGCAGATCGAGAGCCCTGGTATGTAAGGGTGATATTGACCATGGGCACAAACGAGCTCTTTCATCTGAGGGTGATAAAATCTCTGGACAAATGTTTCCCCAAATGTAGTAGTTTGTGACAAATGATGGCATATATTTTTTGTTCAATCATACACCCTTTGCTTAAAAGAGAGTATACCAAAGCAGAGATAGAGAAATCTACTGTTTTAAGAAGACTGTTAACACATCTGCTTATTCTTGATTTGGGTTTGTTACAGGTTCTGATGCAGAGTCTTGTGAAAGCTGGGATGAAAGTACTTTGGCATTAGAGGAATGCCTCTTCTGTTCTCATGTGAGCAAGACCCTCGAAGATAATACCAAACACATGACATCAAAACACAGCTTCTTTATCCCAGACGCTGAGTTCCTAGTTGACTTAGAAGGTCTCATAACTTACCTAGGTATGTATTGTAAACATTTTTTCCTTGATTGCAAAGTTATTCTAAAGCAGATGTCGTATACTTTCATTCATTAATTTTCATTCTAACTAATATTTAGGGGTTTGATGAAACCCTGTTTGTTCAAATGAATGACCTTGACCTTATATGGCCCAGGCAACTAAAATAAGGCCTGTAGCATGCTGGGATGAAGGACTAACTGAATGACCTTGACCCACTTTAAAGGTCAAATAAATATGTTAAAATCTTTAAACAACTTCTTCTCAATAACCAAAAGGCTCAGATTGCTGATATTGTGCCTGTGGCATGCTGGGATGAAGGGCTAGGATTTTATTAATGTATACAGTAGATATTTAAACAAGTACCAGCTGAATTACAGTATACATGTTGTTATGATACGTTGCTGAAAATCATGGTTTTTTTTAATCTACAGGGGAGAAGGTTGGAAGTGGTCATGTTTGTTTATGGTGCAACTACAAGGGCAAGACCTTCCACTCTTTACAGGCTGTGCAGAAACACATGCTAGATAAAGGTCATTGTAAACTGCTACATGAGGGTGATGCTGTGTATGAGTTTACAGACTTCTATGATTACAGGTAAATAGAGTGTTAATTGGGGTCTAAGCTGTGTACATGTAAAACAGATTTCTATTATCACTACTCAGGGTCAAGGCTGTGTACATGTATACAGACTCCTATAATTACTACTGTGGGTCAAGGCTATGTACAGGTATACAGACTTCTACAATTACATGAGGTCAAGGCTACATGTATGTAAAAGTATAAAGTCTTTTATGATTATGATGGATAAATATTCATGTACAAATTTACTGACTTCTATGATTACATGTGCATAGACTAGGACTTTGGGTCAAGGTCAGACTTCTCAAATTACAGGTATTGAAATATCATAATTCTAATGACTTTCCTTTTCCTTCCAGTAAATTTGCTCTTGGGTAGAAATAATTTCTTGAGTTATAATTTGTTGATGTATTTATACAGGAAAAGTTACCCAGATTACCAGGAGGAAGAGTTTGATGAAGGATCAGAGGATGAAGGCAGAGGACTGGAGGATGTCGAAATGGAAGAGGATGCAGAAGATGAGGAGGAGGAAGTGGAACAGAAAGTTCTGGCTTCAGACAATTATGAACTGGTGTTGCCATCAGGTAGGAGAATATGTCACTATTGAGATTATCTGTGAATCCAGTGGTAATTATGACAACAGGTCTGCATATATAGTGTGCTGTTTACACTTTATAAAGTTCCAATTATTTTTTTCAAAGTTCATTCAGATCTATTTTAGTTTCATTTTATTTAATTACAAATTGCAGTCTCTGAGAAAAAAAAGTCAAGGAAGTGTCATTATACTCGCATGATTTCTCAGGTGTCAAGTAGCTTTACTAAGTTGAATCATTATGAAAATACCAGAGTGTCATTGGGTGAATTGTGTCTATTATAAAACTCTCTTACATGTTAAGGAGCGACCATAGGACATCGATCCCTGCAAAAGTATTACAGACAAAACCTGCCCCAGCGTGAATCTTCCCGAACCAAAGCCCTGCTACCTAACATGCTGGCTCACTACAAAGCACTAGGCTGGACTGGAGCAAAAGGTAATAGTTCAACTTAATACCATACTGCTTAACATCATGTTTCGGTTAATAACATATTGCTAAATATCATGTTTTGGTAAATATAATATTGCTTAATATTTGTTTTTGTGGATATCATACTGCTCAATATAATATTTTGGTTAATATCACCTTGTTTAATGTCATAATATGCTTAATATCAACTTGCTTAATAGCATGTTTTCTTAAAACACAAAATCTGAATGATGCTAATATGTAGGAGACAGATAGGAATTCAAATATATCCTGAGTAGATAGTCTATATAAAGAAGCTGATAGAACTTATTACAAGGAATCATTAGCCTTCTCCTGAAGCTGATATTTGTGGTGGAATTTTAGGACTGATTTGATTTAAGTACAATTCCTATTTTTCAATTGAATAACATTTTAATTTCTTCTCCAGGAGCTGTTGCCCAGAAACGTGTGAAAGACCTTGCATTCATGCAGAGACTAAAATTTCATCAGCATATGCGACTTGGTATAAAAGCAAATAAGCTGCAGCATCATTTCAGGAGTCAAAACCCAATATAAGGCCAAGGACTCTATAATGTCTTCAGTGGCATTTACATGTCGTTTAATTATTTCAGATTGTGTTGCTGTAATGTGGGTTTTGGGATAATTATTTATTGTATAGTTGGTAATATTTACCATTGTCTAGGCATTTACAAAATTTATTCACAGTGAACAACCATGAAATATCAGCCCAGAGAAAGTAAACAACTATACAGTGATTTTATTGCTAATATGTTATCTGGTTCCATTAATATATACTGCAAGACTTGTAACAAAATTTGATGTTAATGCAATATAATACTATCATGGATCTGGACCAAATGGATCTGTCAAAGCATATTTGGTTGACAAGTCATGTTGATACATTGTAAAACAAAATAATTTTTGTTAATGTAATTATCTGATTAGGTCAGGTTACAGTGACACAACTTTAGCTAACTAGAGGGCAGACACTTTTCACCACAGTGGTACAACAGAAATAAAGCCTTTCATTCTTGGAAGCATGCTCTTCGGCCAAACAAAAAATATTTCCTGTTTCCAGTTATGTACCTCCCCAATATATTGTGCCTACCCAAAACATTTTGAAGGCAGTAACCAAATTGTTTGTGAAAATAAAAAAAAAATCCAAACTTAAATAAATTTTTCCATTGTGTTACAAGAAACACATGTATTTATTTTTGGTTTGGCCTTACATAAACTCCATGATCAGCTGGAGATGCTCAAAATTACAGTTGTGATTTTCTGAATTTTTAACAGTTGAAATTACTAAAGAAATTTGTCAGGATTGATTTTGAATGTAGTGACAGCATCAAGTTACATTTGTTATGAGAATTTCTATGTTAAGGGGGAAAATTGCACTATTCAGAATAATTGTTATTATAGTAAAATGGAAATCTTATATCTTGATAAAACATACTAGTCAGATAATACATGATATTTGAACATTAGAAACAGGATCACAGAATTCTGTTGGATTAGACAGGATGTCAGAAGACACAGGTTTGATTAAATAGTATTTAATAGGAATGGGATAACATGATGAATTGGGATGTAAAAACACTAAGAGTTCTGTCTAGAGAGGTTTCATTTTGCAGATGTTTGTGTGATTTTTTATTTCAATCAGTTTGCTGGCATAAGAGAGCCAGGTCATGTTGATAGAGTGCTTCGCTGCAATTTTGTGTATCAGTAAAGCTTGACTATGTAACATGTCACGAGGCTGATACTATTCAGAAAATGTTTATATAAAGGACTTCCACATCTTAACTGAAATGAGAATGTGATAAATAAAGATGTGATATATATAATAAAATGTATCATGTTTTGCTTTTAGATACTCTGTACTGTACATGTTCACCTAAGGATATTTTCTTCCTCGCAGCAAAATGTTGTTTTTTTTGACCAAAGAAGACGGCAGTACATTTCAATTTCAATATGAAAATTTAGCTCATTTAATACTTTTCTCCTAATCACATAAGAGAGAAAATTGAACTGTGGTAAAAGTGTGCAGGCAGGAAACATGTAAGGGTAAACTGCAACTTTACATTACATGAAAAACTCGATATTAACAATCAAATCTGATGAAATCAGAAAACAAAAATATATATCATTCAACAATTTTAATCAATTTTCATTTTCCAATACATCGAGGTATCCAATACAATGATATAGCATATACTGCTTTATTATGATACAATATTTATACACAGTGCATTGTATGCTAAAATATTGCTGATGCAAGAACTTTTACATTGAAGAATCTTCTGATTCATGTGGGAATGGCAATATAATCAAAGAGCAAGACATAAACACAAAATAACTAGGGTTTCAATACAAACATCAGTGGCAACTGTTCTAATATCTCTTGCCATTAATGGCACTTTGTTTGAAAGTTAACATACATAAAAATGAGGAGTTCTAAGTTGTGATAATTTGTTGTATTCAGAACTAACAATTTCTAAAAAGAGACATGTACAGTAGCTTTCATTTTATATTATCTCTAGAAATCACTCGGTACTTTTGAGAACTACAAACTGTCTGTTAAATAATCCCCACTCCTACTTTTAATGGAAAAGAAGAAAAAAACAGTTTAAGGAAACAAAATATAAACATATACAAAGTTTGAGAACTGAAAGATACAGGTCACAGTGACCTACATTTGATATTTTGGATTGTTGTCTTCTACTTGTAATTAAGAAATTGAGCTAATAAGATATTCATGATGTCATTCAAATAGATGGAGAAATCAACAACTATAAACTGAAAGCTTGATAAAAATGGTAAAAAATACTCCATTAGATGTAGTAACACAATTCAGTATCTTAATTGAGGAAAAAGGAATCCTGTTTATCATATGTAACAGATTGTCAAATTAGCACTTGCTGAACACATTTACATATTGATAAACTCTGATATTTTTCATATTTGACCAGAGTTTACCATAGATGTACTTATAGTAACAATTATAACATACCACTCTCATGCCACTTTTAACTGCAACCATTTTCACATGCTTTAAAAATGTTCAACAAAATCATTCTTCAGAAAACCTTTTCACTCTCTCTCAAAATAACATTAATGAAACGTTGTGGTTTATCAACTGAACTTTGTTCGTTTATTTTGTGGCTCGTCAAAGTCATCCTCTTCCCAATCAACATCTCTCAGCATGAGGTCAAGGTCATCATTTGGAATTTCCTCTTCCTGTTTCACTATACATTCATTGTCTGACTCTTGAGGATTACTTTGCTCTGATGAATGGAAATAGCTGAACAAGGATGACTGTTCTACAAAGAAAAGACAGGGCCAATTTACTGTTAATATGTTATGAGCAAGAACAACCGATCAATTTTAAAAAATTTCCGCAACAACTTCATATAATCAACTCTAAAATGTGACAGTTACATGACCTGAGTTTTACAAAAAATTATTTCTTTTTATCTTGAAATTTATTGGGCCTAGAAACATGTTTCCACCAAAGATCCTGCTTTCCGGACTTTCGGTTTACCAGATAAAGACAGGTTTTGACTTTTTGACCCCTGTGATGTTGAATATGGCTTCATCTTAGGAACCTATAAACCAAATACCATGATATGTGGTCAGTTGGTTATTGAGAAGTAGTTTGAATGGAAAAGTATGACAAACAGACGGATGACAGGTAACAGACACTGCCCCAAGGCATAAGCTCAGTTTGGCCCTTTGGGTCCAGTGAGCTAAAAAGAATAGATCTGTTATGTTTGACATTTAATCCTTAGAACTCTCAATTATACAGCAAGAGCACGCACATTCATTGTCATGAAGTTTCATTACAAATTAATTCATTCCTTCAATATGACATGAATGAAAACTATCCAAATATTTAAACTCAGCACTACTTGCCAAAACAATAGATCCTCTTATAGCATTACTGGATCAAATAATCTCACAGTCTACAGCATTGTAGAGATCTACCTCACTGAACAACATATGGGAGGCTCACAACATTCCACCCAGAGCAATTGAGGTAATGTGTCTTTCCGAAGGACACAAGCACAACAGTGAATGAAATTTCAACATTACTATATTCAACCTTTCAACCTTACTTTTACTTGGTGTCGTAGATTTGTCTTTAACCATGGCATCAGTGAGAGATTCCCCCTCCTGTGGCCCTCCTTCTAAACATTCCGACTGCTGCTGAATTGAGCTATCCATTGTCTCCTCAGTCTCTTCCATGAAAGACTCCTCAAAATATTCTGTTAGATCCTTCTGTCGGCTATCCTGTGAGTACAAAAGATTGTTTCACAGGGATGTTTTCAGACATCAGTAAAAAGTTATCATATATTTCTAGAGTGTTTCTCTGTCAACTTGCTTTCCATCCCCATTTAGTATCTTCAAAACGTGCTGTTGGGTTTACTTATATACCATGCAACACATTAGTTTTGATACATGCTAACAAGTATTCAGTTGCTATAAAAATGCATCACTCTTCAAAAACAAATCACTGACTGAGATTATAAAATATCAACATAAACTCCATGCATCACTTTGCTTTTAAATCTTGTCAGTTTGAAAAAGAAATTTTCAAATCGGACTTTTCTGTAAATATTAATGATACATTCAATTTGAACTATACTAATGATATACCCCTCTAAGCTATTTAGTGAGAATAAAATTGTAAGAAAAATTTCTTTAGCACTTGATTTTTCCCTGATAAATCGTACCCAGTATGAATTATTTATAATTTCAGGAATTTGTGGAATAATATAACTTGAAATCAAAGATTGTAAAACCTTCACAAGAGTCAATGACTTTTGAGTATGTTTATATCATATTCATCCAGCAGTATGTCAATGATTAGTAATAAGTCAACAAATACATGATCATATTGTTGCCATTTCACTGAGCAGTAATTAGCCCATTCTGTGAGTAAGAAGTACATTGTATTCAATAAGCCTATTCCGTTATCAAATAGTAATATATTGGCTCACTGTATTTGTTCTAAGGACTAGGAGTAAGCAGTGAATTTTTGACAAGGGAGAAGTCTATCTTACCTTAGCATGAGTTGTGTCAGCCTCCGAGAAGTTGTCCTTACTCAGGCCTGCTCTGTTCAAGACATCTAGTTTCTTTTGTACTAAAGGCCTACAAAAAAGATAATCTTAATTGTTTGTTCATATTGACAGGTAAATCAACATTAAAAAACTAGAGAATCCTTTTAGTATGAAATGTGAAAAAGATGCTTTAAGTAGAAAGAGCCATATCAATATTTTCAGTCGCAGAAATCCAATATGGCCACCTATTAGCCACCTTGTTTTTTTTTTTCAATCAGTCCATAAACATGCAAAACTAGGGACCTAGAGGGTGGAAAATTCAGGAGAATTTTTTTTAGAAAAAATGATTAACAAGAATTAATTAAGCATGGAGATATATAGTGGATGAAGGCATACAGCAATTTCATCAGCTGACCAGCATCAGTCCTAATAAAGATATTGCACTTGTCTGCTGCTAGTTTTAATTGAAATCTACCATAAAATTTGGAACATTAGTAAATTTTAGACCATCTTATATGGACTGAAGTACTGTTTTAGGTCATATTAATTTTTCAAATTTATGACTAAAACTGCCAAACTACCCTAACATCTTTCGAAGCTAAAACAAAATTGTTCAGGAAACCCCTAAAACTATAGCAAAATATATATATAGATCACAACAAATTTTCAAAATGAGGCAGCCACATTTGTTGTGTAATTTGTTAAGAATATGGCACGGTTTATAAAAAGTTCATTTCTATTCAGTATACTGATCTTGAAAATTTTTCACTTTATTATTACAGATTAATACCATACCATATTAAATAATAGTGTTGTCTAACCTTACCATATATAGTCATCAGCAGTGCCCTGAGACACAAGATACTGGACAGTAACCATGTCCTGCTGACCAATCCGATGGACTCTGTCCTCTGCCTGCACCAGTATCTATACAGCACCAAAAAAATTAGTGAGTTGATTTGTTTGAAACAGGATTAAATAGTCATATTAAAACCAATTTCACACATAGCAAAACTACCACAAAATTTAGGATTTCAATTTTACAAATTATTATCTGTAGTTACTTGTTACTAGCCATAATCTTTCTCATCTCCCTCCTGAGTATAAGGCCAAGCTGTGGGGAAAATTCAGCCAAGCTAGGAGTTACACAAGTTCTAGATAATGAGGTTCGTCCTTGTGTGTATGTTTATTCTTTATTTGCTGTGATATAGAGTTATCATTTCTCTCAAAAAGCTTAATCACCTGTGAAGTACCTGTGTATACTTGAGATCACAGGTGTGAATAATTCTGTATTAGTTTCCAGACTTTTTGATATCATCTGCAGGCAGGAGCAAGCAGAGCCTTTGATTTGAACATGACAAGATTTCAAATGTGTACTTAAAAATACATTATTTGATTATTGGGATGAGTAAGAATTTGAGCAGAAGTTTTGTTACCTTTGGTCTTAGTTGTATGATTCCATGAAAAATCTTACCCCTGGATTCCAAAAGAGTTCCCCAAATACCACAAGGTTCGCAGCGGACAGGTTAAGGCCTGCATTGGCCGCCATGATGGACAGAACTGCCACACGATAGTCATCATTTTCCTGAAATTTCTTACAGAAATAGTTTCTTTGTTCTGCTGATGTCTTGCCATCTATACGGATGTACTGTTGCTTCACCTAGGTACAATATACATTAAAGTTTTGATATTACGAACCTGTGTAAAATATCAACAAGTAAATATACTGCTGAGACCAAAAGTCATGAATTTATTATTAGAAATTGTTTTGTTGTTTCTTTTTATTAACCATTCATTTACATGTAAATCAATCGTTTAATCTTAAAAATACAAATTTAATCATTACTGGTCTCATATTAGGTTCAACAAGTTTGCCATCACAATGGTCATGTATAAAAGCGGATTACCTTTGTATATGATTACATATGCTTAAGCAGATGCTTCACAAGGATCAATTAAAAACAACATTTTTAACAGTACCTTAGCCTTGACTACGTCTTCAATAGCGTCCAGTACTTCCTGATGGTGAGCAAATATCAGAAACTTTTTGTCTGTTTCAATTAAGTCCACAACATAATCCCTGCAAGTGTAAAGTATAATTATTCTAAAATATACCTTTAACATGGTCTGGTTTCATTTAGTTCAATTTTCTTTTTGAAATATTTTGATATGAGAATACTGTATACCAGGATATTTTTGTCTCAGGTTATTTCACCCTTGTGCCATAATACATGAATTCAGCTCAGGTTAATTTCGCACCCCTGAGGATTATTTAATTGGCTATACAAGTGTAACAATTATTTGTCCCATCTTCAATTCTCCCTCCTGAGTGCAAAAATTTCCTGGTTTACAGTATCACAATATATATGTGTACAGAGTCAGAACAATTCAATTCAGCATCATTTCTCTGTTGTGTCTTGATTGTTAACTGGGACTTTACATGTATATGTACCTGATAGCATGTGAAGAATACCAGAATTGGTTATGAGAGGTAAAGTGTTTGTAAATGGATAGGCACAGTTTATCAGACAGAAAGAGTTTATTGTTAAGGTGACTTACTGATGTCCATGCCCAACAGAATTTAGAATGTCTCCCATAAATAATAAAATATAGGACATATTTATTAATACAATGCAATGAATAAACACTGCTCCAGCTTCCTGTACCTGATGGCGGGAATCTTGGCAGCTCCTGTATGATGAAAGTACTCCAACAGGACCCCTCGTCTCTCCACCCCCTAGAAAGCACACCATATAAGATTATCGTACATAGTTTACTCTGCTAAATCAGAAATTGTGATTATGTCACTACTTCTGGCACAATAATTCCAAGAAAGACGGGGTGCTAAATTTGGCTGAGCTGTGGCTATTCAGTTATGAGCTTAAGTGTTATTGCAGGGAGATACTTTAAAGGTCAGCTGCATATATAATGCTAATCAGAGCATCAGATTTTGTCTTGGTTTTGGGTATGAAAGTGGGGAGATGTAAAGCAAAACTTTATCACTTTGAATGTTCTTACAAATTTTATATAGTAGACAAAATGACAGAATGTCGAAAGATTATTTCAATATATTTCGCGAGTTGACATTGAGGTAACCTTAATCCCCAAATATAACAACTGTATCTATAACTGGCTATATGCTATTAAATCTCAGTATCCCAAAGGTTTCGCTGTGAAATTGAGTCATTCCTCACCCCCTTCCCCAAACCACCACTTCACCCTCATTTTCTGACATTCACCCCAAGAGTGAAAGTCAAACAATACTCACTCATCTGACCTTGACCTCTAATACTTTTAACCCTATTAATAAAAAGCTTACCTTAAAGTTGATAATGACCTGAAATTTAACAGATAAACCTCCCAATTTCTGTTGAACTTTGACCTTTGACTCCAACTAGAAGTCTTACCTTGAGTCCTTTGACATTCATTGCCTTACAGTCAGTCTTCATCTCCTTGTTGATCTTAATAGAATTGGGGTCAAGGACAACCATCTGTCTCATTTTTGCAGGCAGCTGTTTCAAAACATCTTTCTTGAGTCGCCTGCAACCATTATACAAGTTTTGATTCCTAAAATTGTGTTTTCTAAAAAACAAGGAATCAATATACTTACGCAGATCCTTATTCCTATTTAGCTACATAAAGGATCTGACAATATCCTATAAGGGGTCATGTTCTGGCAATTTTTTGCAAGAGCCAATCAAATTATTACTTATAGAATCTTGGAAGATTATGAAAGTTGGCAAAACAATCTCTTAAAATTCTTTCTTTTTTATTTACCAACCGTATCATAATTTTTTCTTCCAAAACTATTTGAAGTTCATTCATGTTTGAGGATCCAGAGAAATCCCAACCAAATGGCATCTGAAATGTAGAAAGTTCCCAAACAGTTTCTGGTATCATTCTTTAAAATGATGAACAATTAGATAATAGAAAATATATTAAACATAGTACATGAAAATACTGAGAATCCTTGACAAAGAATTATATATGACTCTATATTTATCCCATAGATAACAGATATTATACATGAAATATGATATTTCCTCCAAAATCTTTCAAGTTTTTTACCTTCTTTCCATCACAATATCGGACCCCAAAATCATGAAATTTGATGAGGAATGGACAAACAGCCTGGATACAGGTGTAGAGTTCTGATGGACGAGAGAGTGCAGGGGTCCCACTCAGAAGGATAACACGATGAGAGTTCTATTGGTACACAAATAAGGCATGGTTAGACAGATATTAATGCAGAACCTTTCAGTATAATCACCTGGCACTGAGGATATCCTGTAATAGCTCAGCAGGGATAATTCTGGGTCGTAACTGCTAATTGAAAATTAAAAGGTTTTGGAGAAAGTGATTAGGATTTTCTACATATATATATGAAGAACATTGTGAGAATTTTAATGAGAATTTAATTTCAGCAAATACATGGGTAAAAATCCCCAATTATTTTTTCTGACCAATCAAATGGAAGTTTACAACTCAACATCATAATAAGAATTCATGTTGCCATGGAGTTTTGTTGGATATATCTACAGCATTCTCCTTGTGATACTATTGTATATTGTATACATTTTGTTACCTGTAACAGTGGCAGAGCTGCTTTGCACCTCGCAGTCTTGAAATTTTTCAATAAATGACATTCATCCTGAAAAAAATTAATTTGAACAAATTAACAACTAATGTCCAGCTTAAACAGGTTTTATTATCAAAACCAAAAATGGACACATGTCATTTTGTTTCAATACATAACTTGGGTAACCTGCACATAAAACGACAAGAGGCTCATATGTCCTATATCATTCACATGGCATAATTGATTCTTCTTCACCCAAGAATGCTTCAAACTTTTGGTCATAATCCAATCATAACAACAGCCTTACAGGAGAAGGATTTTATGGAATTTGCTCTATTTCTAATATTGGGGTCATCCCTCTGGCCCCAGGGTTCAGAGACCAACAGTTTATACTAAATTGCTTCCCCTTCACCTACGAATGCTTCAGACCCTTCAAGACCAGGTGAGCTAAAAAGCCAACATGCACATCTATAGACAAGGGTAGGACTAAATCTAAAATTTAAGACAGATCTATCAGGGATTTCTGGAGAAATTGAAAAAAATGATTCATGACACTTTATAGGACTGATAAACGGAAATTTGAACAGCCTATGTGATGATGATGGACATAACAGAAACAATGAAACATACCATAATAATCACTCTGAAATGTTGTTTCTTTAGATGCTCCACTTTCTTCGCCATCAGATCATAGCTGAATATGTTGATTTGGCTCATGTTCATTACCTTTTTCCCTGTAGTTGGGACAAAGATTTCCTGCGGATCAACACTTGGAAGCCACCGTCGGAATTGCTGTGCCCATGCAAACCTTACTGAGGATGGAGCCACCACAAGAAGTGGCCATTCTTCTCTGTAATAGCTTGATAAACAAATGGCTTGGATTGTTTTACCTAGACCCATATCATCAGCAATCAGGACACGACCATTCATATGTATCCCAAACCTGGAACACAATTATCCATATAATTCCAAATTATTGTTTGAAAAAATTTTAAGTTAACATTTTATTTCATCTTGAAACATTGTTACAAACACTTTACACAAAAGATGACCTGCTACACTGAACGGCCAACTTATCTGAAAAACACTGAATGCATCCAAAATATAGACCTGAGAGATTTAGTAACTATCAGAGTGCTATAACATGTACAAGATTCTGATCCGTTTCAACTAATTACTAGTGACTTCACGTCAACCAATTTCTTGAATTTGTGATCATGTCTCCAATTTCTGTAACTTATCTCTGTTTATTAAATGAAAGAAGTGAACTTTTTTTATAAAAAAAATTGGAAAAAACATCAATTTTTAAGCACGGTGAACAAACACTAGATATACATACTCGACTCCTGTTCGCTGGAAAGGCAAAAGAGCATCCACTAGCACACAGTCAATTTTTGAAAGGTCAGCAGTGGGAATAGTCCTGGCAGGGTACTTGCCCTTCATCTGAGAACTGAACACTTGCAGTATATGTTTAGGGAAGGGTTGTACCTCCACAGCCGGTTGAAGGCCTTTAATGGCTGCCACTGTTGATAGTGGAGAAGAAACAGTGAAGTACATAATGCAAGATCTTTTGGACTCAAGCTAACAGAAAAATGTTAACAGTGCAACTGAATACATCCATAACTTGTTTTACAACCAATAGACATGTTGCTGGGTATATGTAGCCATACAAGAAATGTTTGCTATCTGGGAAATCTTACTAACATATACTTTAATTTCATTAATTGGGGACTCATTTCACCACAATATTCTACTTATTTTTTCAAAACATTGAAAACCTACAGAAATGCAATACAAGATAGTGTATATTTCATTTGTTTTACCACCAGTGTGAAACATTAACTTCTACCATCTTACGCTTGTTGTAATAACATTGGACAAAACAGGTTACTGGAATTAATTAATATCATTCATGTAATTTTCCAGAATTGCCACGAGTAACCTTGAGACAAAATTTCAATTGAATATTTTTGTATGTTCCTACAGTGAGACAATTAGTGCAAACTGAGAGTTTCTTGAAATTTCTTAATATTCAAGGGTAATAACTACGGAAAAAAAGAAGTTCACCACTACAAAATATGAACTTGACATGTATCTTCTCAATGATAAAACTGCAAATGTGAATAATAAATCTAATTTTATTTCAAAAGACGATTTCTTCAAAATTTTCATTGTGATTAAAACCCTGTCATGATCTATGCTTCTGTTTTGTAAATTTCACTCTGCTTCATCAACAGTAAAGTTTACATAACAGGAGCTTAGATCAAGATGTGTCAAGGGCCAAAACTTTGGAAGGGAAAAGGCTGAACAAAACAACATGAAACCTGCATCTTCTCTCTATAAAACAAATGAATGAGTAGAAACCGTATGATGACGGAATGAAGGCCTTGGCAACACTATATATATCCCAACCATTTAATGGTAGAGAGGATTAAATAAGCTTCAGTATTATATCTTCTAGTTTTTTTTTCTTTCAATTTGCATTAATTCTAAGATACCATGGATGCATAATGCTGATAAGCAATTCTCTTCAAGCGATACTCATCCTTGAAAATGGTATCTAATACATTAATAAAGGAACACATTTCATGATGCAGAATTATGTACACTTACTAAATCTGTTGTATTCTTCTAGTGCAAAGGACCATTTTTTAGTAACTGCATCTGTAAAAGATGCAGACACAGAGTAATTATTCAATGTTAATGCTGCATAATATATTGGCATTTTGTGATAACCAGTCTTCAGGAGTTACGTCTCTTTCTCATTTCTTAATACTATGTATACACAGTAGGTTCCTATATTTAAATAACAATAACATTCCCATCAGGGTTTTGTAACTAAAGATCTGATTGGCTTTCAATGACATAAGTAATCTACAAGAAGGAAGCAACATTTTGCTTGGAATTCTTTTAAGTAAAATTAATTGTTATATTTTAGCTTTTAACTTTAAATGAAATAAATATAGGTTACCCTACTGTAACTGAAATTTGCATAACTGATTGATCAATTAAATTCTACACTACAAGCCATCATATTAAAATAACGGTTCACCATATAGTGATAAATATACCACCTAACCCCATAAAAATTACACATTAATTGCCCCTTATGAGAATCATACCATAGAGTTTTGTATTCATGGTCTTAAAGACCTCAACAAGGGGTGCACAGAAACCAACATCAACCTCAAATCTCTCTCTAGATATAAGAATGCAGCATCCTTTCACAGACTTGTTCTTTCCAAAAAAATTGTTTCCAGAGTTAGCTACTTTGTTAGCGACCTCGCTGGCACTGAACTGTTCTGTTCCTCTGGATATGTTATTCCCCTCTGACACAAATTGTCTGTTGCCATGTGATCGACTAAAACTTTTGCTGAGCCAATTGGAAGTTCCTTTTTGTTTTTCGATACCATTTTCTTTATTTGTGACAAGCGGAATCTGAGTGACTGCACTTGAAGGTTTTTGATGAAGTTTTGTAGGCCAAGTTGGAGTTATTTTTCCCTGTTGATATGAATTCTGAACATTACCACCAGGGGGCACCACAACACCACCTGACTTTACACACTGGCCTGAGGTTTGAGGTTTGTTCCATGAGGCAGATACTTGAGTTTGTTCAATAGGACTTTGATTCTTGGCACGCTTAGAAAGTGCTTTCTTCTTGTTTTCTTCTATTCTTCTTTTTTGTTCTTCTGTTAGTCCTCCAGATGACATGATCATATATGTTCCTAATATATTAATTAAAAAGATAATTAATACATATAAAAAATGCATACAACTGTTTTAATTTCCATTTAACATTTTTAATTCCATTTCTTTTGAAGTCATATTTCCCTCTATTGGTATTCAATGCTATCGCATGAAATATGGAAATAACTTTTTCAGCATTTCTACTATACACCTGCACACACATTATAAACCAACATCTACCGTAGTTTGACCAATATGTCGTTTTTGATCAGGTATAATCGTTGTGCCACAAGACAAATATGTTTATTCATTCATGTGCAATCCTTCTTCACTGATAACTCAGAAAACCAATAATGTAAGCCAGAGATCCCAGGCAAGTTCCCTGTGGGGGTGGGGGTAGGGTAGTTGAGGCATTTAAAATATATCCTTGAAGTATGCTTACCTGGTATTTAACACTTCTTTGTAAACTTATTTTTACAATGACCTTCAAGTGATTATCAACTTATCCTAATACATTGTAGCATGCTAACACTCCAGACAAAACATTGCTTCTCTGCTACAAATGTATCTACTTTCCACTGATGTTCTTCCTTTAAATCAAACTAAATTGATCTCAACCTTATAAAATCATAAATGCATAGGTATGTAGATTTATGATTCACAAATTTTCAAAAAACACTGACATTATATATTTTCTTTAAATTTCAGTGTTCTGGTTTACATACCAGTACATCAATTCAACCTTGTGTCTTTCCAAGGTTGAAAAATTACAAGGTCTAGTTCAAAGAGAGTTCACTTCTGCAAATTAACACCTACTCCAAAATTATCCGATGAATTTGTAAAATGTACCTGGCTCAATCATTACAACTCTACACCAGTTGGCAGGTGAGATAATACTGAAATTTGTTACATTTGGACAACAATTTGTGTCACATCTTGGTGTCAGATAACAGATTACTTGTGATTAGACAGGTTTACCAGTATTTGTGCAACATCATTCTGTTGAGAAATGGATCAGAATGACCAATCAGACAATATTTTGTAAAACTTTGATGTCAGTGTCTTGTAACCAAGAGCAGAACTACTCTCCCTGGTACCCTGTAATCCTGCACTTCCTAATCCTTGAATTTTAGAACATGCATCGTGCATATGTATTGTCTGCAGTGTGTATGTGGTTATACATAATATGTGCAAACGTTGAGAGTACAGGTCAACTTACTAGCTTTGGCTAGTTGAAATTTCCCATTAGATGAGCAGTTAAGAGGGTGAGGTACTGAAGGGTTGCTGGTTTGAATCTCGCCAGTGCCAGGTGCACAGTATTTGTCTTTACTCCTTTCTATTATAAATCAGGTGTTGTTCATCTTTTTAAGAATAGAAGCATAGGCTCCTTGGAGAAATAGGGAGTCCTGTAGAAGTTGAGAGTACAGGATGCAATTAAGTTACTACCCTTGGCTTGTGGAAATTTACTTTAAATCAAGTGGTAGAGTGTCTGGCTAATGACTGAAGAGTCACTAGTTCCAATCACACCAGGTACAGGTGTATTTTCTTCTTTGTATTCTGTTTTTGTACATTAATGTGCTATCAATATTGAAGATTCCCTCATTAGGTGTTGATAGAGGTAACATATACATCAACAGTTTTACGTGATCAAAGTTTGAAAATTGAAATGAGTTGTAAGAGAAAGTACATTAGTGTGACAGCAGATTTGAAAGTTTCAACAAACTTGTGCAAGCAAAAACAAAAGCTAAGGGAGGGACAAGTGTTACTGTGTGATAGTTCCTTGCAATTGTGTAGATGTGGATACTTTAACATGTAGCTGTCTTTTTAATGTCTTAATGTGTTTAAAGGGATATATATATATTAAAATATATAAAACTAATTAATTAATCTTATATATGAAATAAAAATAATATTGGCAGGAGCCTCTGACAGTACGATAATACCATTTATCAATAAATTGCTATCATGTACTTAAACTTGTTCATTTGACTTGAACTGTTGAAGTTTGATCTGGACTTCAAGTTAAAAAAAGATTATCAGTATAGAGCATTACATAATCTATATCTTCATTACGTTCGGGCCATCAAAATTGATGTTTCTGCGTATACAGAATAATGAAATATAAGTATAAGGAATTCGGAGATTAAAAGCACAGTGCATTAATAAATTAATAGAAAAATGATTGAAAACAAGGGTGATGCAACAATAGGCTACAGTGGTGTTCCTAATTTCTGTTTGAAGCTGTTTAGGAACTATGTAGATACCACGTCTGGTGAGAGAGAATTCCAGAGTGGTATAGTATACGATGATGATGATGATGATGATGATGACGACGATGGTTTTTCGTCTCCTTGACTCTGCCCAGCGACGGGCAGCGTAAAATCGACGTGCGTCGATTCTCTGACGACGTATAGTATACGGAAAGAAGCTGTATTTGTAGCAATCATTTTTGGTTTGGAAATGTTAATTTACAGGGATGAGTACAGTAAGTGGAGATGACGAAATATACAGCTTACTACGTAAACATATGGATATCAACTTACTGGGAAAATAGCCTTATACAAACTTTCTTGGTGCTAATCTGTTTCCATAATGTCAAGAGAACTTCTACGTCCCTTTTAATGTTAAGTCATAATCAGTTTTACTTTCGTTTTCCCCGCCATCTGCTTCCCGTCTTTAGAATTACAGTAGTCTCGCTCACCCAGCCACTTGATCACTTTATAGCGTGTATAAGCAGAAAGTGTCTGACTGAGCGAGATTAGAGTTATGAAGAACATAATTGATCACATGCGAGCACGGATTCACGGAAAGTACGATATCCGGATTGACAGCGGTTAAAAAATTATGAAAGTTTATTTTTTATTTTCCAGTAATATTTTATTATTTGATTTTTTCATATCATTTATCAACAGTCTTTCGCGTTAGATCCAAAACCGAAGTTTTCTGTAATTTTAGACACAGTGTGACTTTTTTAAAGGATTTTGTAAACCCTCACGTCATATAGTAGCGGAGAATTTCAAGTATCAATGCATTATTCTATAGTGAATAGGTACTGTAACGATGGAAATAAAGATGAAATACGACATCAATTATCAAATGTAAATTTCTCTGATTTCAAATCCTTTCGTCAAGTTTTTTTTTTTACCGGTATGAGCATCATTGAATTTGTTTTAATCCTGCTTGTTCAAAAATTAAGAAAATATCTGAAGATGCTTCTATGAGAGATCTACATATGTCTCTGATACAGTTTAAGGATCATGAATTTTCAACTTATAACCATCAACACTGAAACTTTCTTGCTAAATGCCGACATTGCTTTAAACTTAAAAGTGACCCAGGAAGTTCGAAAATGATTAAAAAAAATGCAAATAGGGAGGTGAACTTGTCCCCAAATTTTAAATGTATCTTAAAATTTTCACTGTCATTTGATTTCACTGAAATAAACGTGGTGGCAAATTAGCTGCTACAAAATTTATCAGTCCGCATTACAGAAGAGATTTGTAACATTTGATAAAATTAATTAATTAATTTGGGTACGTTGTCAAATAGGAATACAATTAAACCTAGATAAAAACAAACGGCTCCTTGAAGCAGATTTATCATTAATCACCCAGTATTCATTATTTGTTACATTTCTAATATTTTATACATCAACAAAGTAATTCAGTCATGCGACACTTTTCATAACCTGTAGTTTTCAACACAATTACTCATAAACAAATAACATTGTATTCTAATGTCTTTATCAATCATACCAGCTAAAAAGAGTGAGATCTTTACATATTTTCCCATTGTTAATTTGTCTGACCTTGACCTAGCCTACCTCCAGTTCAGAAATTATCGATATATGTTTAAGCAAAAGTACACTATTTATAGTATACGCTACAGCCTTCATTTGAACAATACGACCCGTCATAAATATAGCGCTTATTTTGAATTGTTGATTAATAAAAAGAGAGGTGCAAAATGTGAATGTCAAGAAATATGTTACTTGCTATCTCAGGTTGAAATATTTTGAATAAAAGTGTGGAATATGGTTACTATTGGATGATTATATAATGAAACCAGAATACTATCCTTGATGCTTGATCAACATATATAATTTAATTCACTTATTATTAATTTTCTTTCACAGATAAACAATTTCATGGTCGTTATTTAACTAACACATGAACAAGCTCTGCGACGCCACACATGTTGGTGGACTTTTTCCCACACCATGTCAAACCTGATTGGATTTTACACATATGTGGCATGTAAGCTCCATTTCATCCTTCATATAGTCCTGACTAAAGCGCCTAAAGAAATGATATTTGTTTAGGCACAGAGTGTGTTACCGAAATTGTAACTCATTATTTTACAACTTTCATGACCAAAATGGTGAACCAATAGACGATGGTAATTGTATGGGGATCATATAATTTGCAATATTGTTTCTCCTTTGGCTATGAAAGTTGTCTGCAAAACTTCATTGAAATTGTTTTAGGGGTTTTCCAGAATAATCGATAATGTAAAGTTTTTCTTTGTATATGGTGTGTAAAGGAATGCATTGGGATGAATTTTTTTCATAATTTATCAGTAAAAAACGCGTCATTTTACAAAATTGAGGCCCTCGATCCACCTGAAATTTATGGCTGCTTTACTTTAAAATGAGGTTAATTTATCACACCATGCCACTCCGAGACAAACTTTTCAGGCCATCTGACCCTATGGTCATCATATTTCTTCCGTCGTTCGTTGCGCGTTAATGACTTCTTAATAACCAAAGGGCCCAAGGTGTTGATGTTGGGCATGTAGTATGCTGGGATGAATGGCTATCAAGTTGTTAAAATGAATAGCTTCGTCCATTTTTCAAGGTCACAAGGGACAAATGTGTCTTAATCTTAAAAAAAAAACCCTTCTTAACACCTATGAGGCATGAGATTCTGATAATGGGCCTGTAGCATGATGGATTGACGGGCTAACAATTTTTTTTCATATGATTGACCTTGACCAACTTACCAACCAAAGGCTCTGGGTGCTGATATTGGACTTGTAGCATGTTGGTATAAAGGACTACTAAATTTGTACATATGAATTACATTGACCTACTTTCAAGATAAGAGGTCAAATGTCTTAAAAATCTTTAAATGACGTATTCAATAACCAAATGGCCCAGCAGCTGATACTGATACAGGGATGAAGTGTGCTGATATCATGCATATGGCTTGCTGGAATGAAGGGCTACCAGGTTTGCTCATATGACTAACCTTGACCTTTTTTTTTTAAAGATTACTGGGTCAAATATGTAAAAATCTTAAGTGATTCTTCTCAATAACTAAAAGGCCCAGGGTGCTGATACTGGACCTGTAGCATGCTGGTATGAGCGGCTACTAAACTTATTCATATGAATGACCTTGACCTACTTTCAAAATCTCAGGAGTCAAATGCATTAAGATTTTGATGTTTTACCTTTAAACAAGCAATAGGTTCAAGATCATGGTATTTGTGTTGTAGCATGCTTATAAGGAACAGGATAAAATGTTTAATGAATCAATCATGCCTTCTTTGTATGCTGTAGAGTAGTTGCAAAATTTTGGCCCATCTGGTCCGTCACATACAGGTCTTTATAGTTAGATGACCTTTAAAGGCTCATTGGCCTCGTGATGGAGTTCAAAAGTCAAAATATAGGCCAGAGTGACCTACTTTTGATATATAGCACACCATCTCACCGAGGTGAACCGTTATCCCTAGTATAAAGTTCTTGGGGTGACTTGTATAGAAGATACAATCCAGACAAAAAAGCAGAAGGACAGAGGATTAAAAAAAGCAAAATCAAAGGGCCCTCCAGGTCCTGTTTTGGGCGGAAATAACATATCAAACATCGTACAAAAATTAAACAAGTCTTTTTGCTTTATTTGTAAATAAAGTTACAAAAATCTAAAACAATGAAGTCAGAACAAACCCAATGTCACCAGTAAACTCGGTGCAGCACAGAATTCTGAATACTGTCTTCTATGAAAAAGGATATTAGCTACCTTTGTATCCTGTGCTACACCCAGATGAATGTGTTTAATGCCCATCCATGGGACAGTTCTTAAATCATAACTTTTAGCATCTATTATAATTATTTCATTGGATGAAAAACATGCAAAAATGGAGAAAAAAAAATGAAAACACTAACCAATATAAAAATATTTAAAAGTAAAGGTTTACACAACCTTAAAAGCACTAATTAATAAAAACAGAAAAATAACATTCATCAGTTAACAAAAAACATACAAAATCGAATATACTGAAAAATTATATATATTTGTGTGGCTAAATTTTTGTAGGTTTTTTTTCTCAAAAGATTACCATAGATTTTGTTGATAAACATAACTCAATATCTTTTCTTATGCTAATTGTAATAGATGTAACAGTTTGTGGACTAGGAGTAACCATAATTGAAAATAAATAACCCACAAAAATGAATGAAAAAAATTATTTAAGTAACTAGCATTATTTGGTAAATTTACATTTCTTTGTGTATATAATGATGTACTTCACATACCAATTAGTGATACAGAAGTATTTATACATACTAGTTAGTGATACAGAAGTATTAATACATACCATTTAGTGATACAGAAGTATTTATACATACCAATTAGTGATACAGAAGTATTTATACATACTAGTTAGTGATACAGAAGTATTTATACATACCAATTAGTGATACAGAAGTATCTATACATACCAATTAGTGATACAGAAGTATTAATACATACCAATTAGTGATACAGAAGTATTTATACATACCAATTAGTGATACAGAAGTATTTATACATACCAATAAGTGATACAGAAGTATTTATAAAAAAAACTTAAACCAAAATTACTCTGTTCCATTGCTCTACGCATAAGCTAAACAACATTGAAAATTTGCATCTTTTTACCAAATTATTCAATATTAAAAACACCAGGTTGACATGTTAATAATAACAATTAATCTCATTTCTATCTCATTAAAACAAAGTTTAACAACACTCCACTCTTTTGTTGAAATGGGTATTCATTTATTTGAATAAAATGTTATCTTTCAATAAAAAAAATATTGATAATACACTTTGCAATCAAACTTATTCTTATCCCCACCACTAATTTTCAAATATCAAGCAACAAGCCTTTACCTCCTGACTTCCAATTTATGATATGTGAATTGATAAGTTGCCGAGTGGCAAACAGGCAAGAAAAAGACCTGTGGAAGTAATTTATTTTGTGTTATTTGTGCAACATACATTTAATTCTAGTACTGTAAAATGTGTAAATATTTGTAGCACTTTTTAAGCTGAAGATTATGCCTTGAATTACAATTGCATTAATAACTCATTCAATATAATATTTTCTAGGTAAATACTGAGATTTCATCTAATTCTAGTACTGTAAAATGTGTAAATATTTCTAGCACTTTTTAAGCTGAAGATTATGCCTTGAATTACAATTGCATTAATAACTCATTCAATATAATATTTTCTATGTAAATTATGAGATTACACCAATTCATCACTATTTTGTAATACACTGTAGTTTGCTAGCAAAAAATCATCAATTGTCACACAATAGTCAATACACAGGCTAAGCCCAGAAAGGTAAGCACAGAGAAATAACAAATTACAAATGTTCCTTTTTTGTTGGAACAAACAATACAGTTAAGGACATTTAGTAAAACCAGAAAATTCCTGTAAGTCCTGAATGCCCACACTCCAACATACAGAATATGAGTATCAACGTACAATGAATATACAAAAGCTGTCAGATATGATCTTTGACCCTTGAACTTTGACCAATGACTACCTTTATATAAGATGTGGAACTAAATGCTATGATACTACTGGTTACTGTAGATTTATTTTATGTTAATGTTATTTAAGCGTTTTTCAAACTGCATGTACACTAAACTAAGTAAGTTTATATGTGAGCTAATCTGTTGAGAAATGTGAGAATGTGATGTAGATTCTGTAGACATAGGGAACATTATATTGCCTCCCCCATAAAATTGCTTAATCATAAAAACAAGATTATGATGCAGTGAAACTCATTACTTCCTCCTCTTAAGTTTTCCTGGTTTATAAAAGCCTACACTGACCTCGATAAAAATTTATATAGGTTTAACAAGTATATACTATCAGTGTTTATAGAATAAAAATCCTGTGTATAACATAACATATAACCAAACCTATCTCACACCTACAATGTAAGGTATGTACTGTTTTAACCTAATAAGTACAACATGCAAAACACAAAAGGACTAAGTTTGATAAAACTGTTTACAGGAACAATTTTCAACATGGCATGTGCTGAAACATGAAAGAAAACATTATTAAACTTTAGAAAAACTGTACATTTCAGTCACATTTCTTAACACATGGAAATAGATTATGTATTGGTAGATTAATAAATCAGTACACACTTCCACTTAGCGTCTACTCTCTTTCACAAAATGTCAGTCGGTGCTTCTAAGGGCAAGTGTGCTTATCAGGTTTAAAACAGTATCATTTTACACCAAGGGTGAAAACATTATCACTTTTATTTCATCTTGAATCTAAAATGAGTTCTATTTCATATTTCAAGTTTTTCAATCAAAGAAATTTCAAATAGTAAACTCCAGTTGAAAAGTATTTTAATCAAGTTTCATGAATTTTGAATGAAATAGAAACTGATCTCAGACGCTCTTGATGAAATTACTAGGAATGTATGTGAATACAGATATCAACAAAACAAAAATTTTACCGACAATCTTCATACGACATCAATGACACATTGTGTATATTGCATTCATTGTCACATCACAAATTAAAAACCCATTGAGGATGTCTGCTCTCTCAATTCTGAGGTATCAATTTGTACTTTTTCATAATTATACACACAACACATTAGATATATTGTAAACAAATGAGATAAAAAAATTATCTCTAGATATGTTTTTTTTCCAAACATGTTACCTCTTAATAAAAATATAACTAGAATTTATGAAGGAAACAAAGGCATTCAATCTACAGCTTCCTATATAGAAACCTAAATTTCTGTAAATAGTGTGTCTACCTTCCGACAAAAACACCAGAAACACAACAAGAGAATACAGGATAATAGTTGTGATGATTTGTTGATTGTTTTCCACGGTAAATTCTCTTTAAAAATGATTCGTTTAATATGAAATAACAGAAATGATCCTTTTCTAACAAAGAAAAACTTCTGTTTCAATTTCCTATCGACAAACCTATTTTAACTGATTAAAAAAGTGATGAACGAGTATACAACAGATAACACAAAGGTTGCAGGTTTAATCCCTGGCTAAGGCACTTAAAGATGAAAATGTTTTCATCCATAAGACAATTAAAAGGATTAACATCCTGTACAATGTTTCCATCAACATACCAACTGTTGCCAAAAAAAGGCCAGAATATGGCTATATACACTGTGCTTAAAAATTCAAGAATGACCAGTGGTAAGCTTAAAATAACAGAAAAGTATAGGGACCAGAAAGACCAATTGTTAATCCTGTTGTAAAGACGGTCCATATACACAATATATCTATTTATTTAGTTAACTCTGGAATAATAGCAATTCAGTCTTTGCAAATCTGACAAGAATTATGCTGAAAATTAAATTCTCCCTGTATATAAAACCCAAGTTAAGTTTTTGATTTATTCTATCAAATTTATCTGTAAATGAGCTCCTGCCCACAAATAAGCCTCCTTTTCAATCCGGTAAAATCTCGGCCTCAATCTCCAGGTAATAATAACTATTTTGCTGCTGGATCATACAACTTTCGGTCAAGGCCAAGAAATTCACAAGCATTCCCAGCCAACAACTTGTCCTACATAGAAAAAAATGAAGTATTTAGATTTAAAAGGTCAATATACACCTTCAGTAAAGTTTTGTTTATTTTTCTACAATTGTTTTCCCTGTTAAAACACCAACAAATAAAACAGATACCACAAACTCAGTTTTACAATACAGATCAACAGACAGCAATGACAGCCATTATATTCGTAAACAGTAGATTTTTCTAAAATATACATTGTACAAGCAATGTCAATAATAAGGATATAATCTTTCACTACACAAACCTTTAGATTATCATCAAATTTCATTTCTTCAATCAGCTTGCCAGGGTGGTGTTCGCCGAGAGGAAATGGGTAGTCAGATCCAAGCATCACCTTATCCTGTATAAACAGGGGAGATAATCAAGCTTGCTATAACAGATGTGTAGTACTGGCAATAATGGAAATCCTTTTCAGTTTATGACAACAGCAACATTTATCTCTTTTCCAAAATTTTAGCACAGTAATACAAGCTAAGTTGAGAATTGTCAATTTATTTGCATCAATGAAAGTATGCAAATATTACCTAGGATGTTTTCATTTATTTGTTCAACCAGTTGGACCAGGGTAGTGAATGTTTATAAGATAAAGGCTGACAACTAAGCCTTTCAAGCTCTTTTCACTGATAGTTGAAGGTCAATCCCGATTTTTGCATGAAATGTAACATTTACAGTGCTGATAAACCAGTTTGTCCACATAAACAACCAGGCCCTTACTGTGTGATATTGAATAGTATCTTTTGGATTTTTTACCTCCCATTTGACACTGACCTTTAGTTCGAATTCAACTAATCTTGCCTAGGATATTGACAAACAGGTTGAATTCACAGATACTTAGCTCCTCTAGAACATTGACAAATAAACTGAAAACTTATCTCCCCTCTGCCATTGATGTATACGTGGAATTAAACTAATCTTGCTTAAGAGATTGACCAACAGGTTGAATTCATGGATATTTACCTCCCCTAGAATATTGACCAATAGATTGAATACTTACCTCCCCTGATATTAACCAATAGATTGAATACTTACCTCCCCTATGATATTGACCAATAGATTGAATACTTACCTCCCCTATGATATTGACTAGTAGTTTGAGAGCCTCGGAATCATGAACCAATCCGTCAGTGTATATTTTTCCTAGGTAATCACGTGGTGCTGTTTTACAGTCTGTTGCACATAGGTCAGGACGAACATTATAGCCATGTTCTATTCTTCCTACGGTGTAAGGGAAAGCTCCGCCTGGAAAATCAAACAAGGTATAGCCCTTTTTAACCAAGTATTCCTTTGAATAATTTCAACTGAACACCAAATTTTTCAAATCAATTTCACAAGAACATTAATAGAATAATTCTTTGAATTTGACTGTGTGCTTTTCGCCTTAAACTTAAACAAAAAGCCTGTATGATACAAGCTAATGAAGTTACACATGAAAAATTTTTTTTGCTGGCCTGAATGGAAGTGCAAGAAGGGTCTTACTTTGGGTGGAATACGGAGTATCCAGGAAACATTTTACTGATCTTCTCTGATCTTATTGCGTAACTTACTGTAATGAACTTAATACAATAAGTGCTTTAACAAAATACTTGTATGTAACTCGGTCAATATGGGCCATTGTCCTTGGCTATGGCAAACCTCCATCAGTTGAGTGTAAGAATAGATATTCAGTGGCCCAAGGTTCAAATAAATATTTATTTGTGTAAAGCATACCTCCATGAGCAAAGCAGACTTTTAATCTAGGAAACTGTTCAAGCACACCACCCATCAACATGCAACATACAGCAGTCGCTGTTTCTGCAGGCATTCCTGCAAAATGAAATATAATAAGATTTTAGGCCTTTGAAAAAATGTCCTCCCATCACATTGGAAAGTAGAATTAGAATATATTTT